CTGGACCAGACACGGGAACCTGACCAGACACAGCTACCTGGTGAGACGCGGGGACCTGACGGGGGGCAGTGACAGGGGTCGTGGCAGTAGCTGCTGCTGTTGCGGCTGCTGCTGCTGCTGCTGCTGCTGCTGCCCTCAAGGACTAGTGTGAAGTGTGTAGAGACCAGAGCCCGGCTCAGCGGTAAAGGTGGCCAGAGGCGCATACGTATCACCCTCTACACAATATGCAGTCTCCCCAGAAGGCTCAATCCAAACACCCACGTGACTACTCACGAGCGGCCTCACACCCACCAAGTTCCTGGAGAACGAGGGGACGTGGAAGCCCGTCAGGAAACCCGAGGGAACAGCTGGGCACGAAAGCATAGTAATGTAGCGAGCAGTGACTGGTCCCAAAGTGGGATCAGCCAGTGCTACAGAGACCGGCGCAGGAAGCGGAGTAAGCGTCGTGTGGTCGCGGAAGAAACAGTGCGAAGCTCCGGAGTCCAGAGTGAAAGACAGCGAAGCGTCCTCCGGAGCAGCTCCTGGACTAGTGTCTACACACTAGCAACAGGCACCTCGACAACACTAGCACCTAAGCTAACAACACTCGAGTAAACAGAGTCAGAAGCACTAGAGTCAACAACAGCATACATAGCATGAGGAGTTCCTAAGAGATCAAGCAACTGAGAAGACGACATGCCCCACAGAGTGGGGCCGTACGTCTAAACAAGGGAAAGCCAGTCAGGGACAGGGCCGTCAATGCCGTACGCCGCACGAAGTGTGTCAGTGAGCTGAGCAAAGCACTTATCCGGTGGGTGGCTGCGGCCACAGGGGAGGCCTCGGCGAGTACCTGTCCGAACGAGGTAGGTGCAGGGAGGGTGGACGGCACCGCGCGACAGCTGACGCGGTCCTGACCCCTGCCCCGGAACCTGCTGCTGCCTAACCTGCTGCTGTGGCTGCTGCGAGAGGAGTGGCTGCTGCTGCTGCTGCTGCCGCTGAGTCAGGTACCAAGCTGCCACTCCAGCACCTACAGCTGGCAGACCAACAGGTGCCTGACAAACCCGAGCGTCACCTCCACCAGTTGCAGCAGGGGAGTCACTAGCTGTTGCACGAGGCGCTCCTCCAACCCCTGCACTCCCGCCACCGCCGCTCGCCATGCCACCTGCCACTCCGCCACTCCGCCGCCGCCGCCACCCGCACCCTGACCGCCCCTCCTGCCACTCCTACCCCTAGACCGCGAAGAAGTCGTAACAGCAGCTGCGGTCACGTCAGTAGCGGCAGTGGCGAGGGAGGCAGTAAAGGTGTGCAGCTGAGGGACAGTGCACCCGTAGAACAGTGGAGGGGGCACAGCGCCAGAGGCGGAGGCTACCGAGCGGAGGTTGCTCTCGACGTCCTTGAGGGCAGACTCAAGGACCTCGATAGTGAGCTCGCTAGGGTGCTTCAGAGGAAGCACGTCACGAACCGAGGCAAGGCGGTCAGGGAGGCTAGTGGCGATGAAATAAATAGTAATCGCCATGGGGGGAGGGAGCAGTGCAAGCTGTGCGTCAGTGCAGGCAGCGCGGAAACTAGAATCGAGCGAGCGCATGTGAGCGATCAAGTCAGCAGAACGCTCAAACGAGGCGAGGTCAGGAAACAGGAACGGGAGGAACAGTCGACCAAGAGAGACAGTGGTGGGAGTAGCGTAGCGGGCCTTGATCGCAGTCAGGAACTCACTAGCCGTGCGAACCTGAGTGAAGTGGGTCTCCTCAGACTCAGGGAGGAGGCTGCTGAGAGCGATGCAGGCCGCAGCGTCACGCAACTTCCACGCGGTCTCGTCAGCACGCTGGCGGGCATAACGGTCTCTGCCTGCAGTGCTGGCGTCAGCGCCTAGGGGTGCAGGGTCGGAGGGCGCAGGAAGGTCACCGGAAGCGTGTGCTTACAGAGACTCGTCTGCCTGAACCTGACTCTCTAGGAGGCGGCGCACAAACAGGAGCTAGACAGCGAATTCGTGGGACCTACCCTCGGCATTAAAACGTTGAACCCTACTTGTCGCCATAGTGGCTGCGGCAGGGTGTGACGGGCGCGAGGGTACGGGATCGAGCGGCCGCGACGGGCACCTAGGAAGGAGCACCTAGAGACGGACGCCAAGGGACGGGCGCCTAGGGAGGCGCGCCTAGGGACGGGTGCGGCGCGACGGACGCGATAAGAGCGACGAACGGGACGAGGGCGACGGGACGTGTGCGACGCGGGCGACGGGACGCGGGCGACGGGATGGGCGCGATGTCGGCGGGGGAAGACGTGGGCGACGGGACGGGACGGGCCAGGCGCGACGCGACGCAAGCACGCTGACAGGGGGGGACGCGGGCAACGGGACGGGCCTGACGTGACGCAAGCACGCTGACAGCAGATTTGTGGGGAAGGGGGGGGGGGGGGGGGGGGGGAGACGCGGGCGACGGGACGGGACGGACGGGCGTGACAGGCGCTAGAGAACGGAACGGGCGCAACGGGCTCTAGTGTACAGGACGGGCTTGACGGTAGGGCGCTACGGGTGGTAGAAGGAACGGGATCCCACAGGATCCTAACCTAGGTGATACCATGTCAAGAATAGAATGATGTTTGACTAAGGGTACATTCCTGTGTGGACACAAATGTCTCAATCGCTTTGAGACACTCAAAAACAACATAACCTGTAGTGTGTCTCAAAACCGAGTCGCTTTTCAGCAACCATTACTATTTTTTCATTGGTCAGCGTGTTACACGCTGACGTCGCTGACGAATTTTAAACTGACTCGTCACTTCAGAAAAATCGCACGCGGTCCCAAATGTCAATGCACCTGGTCTGCCTGCAATGCCAATTTCGCGCGGGAAAAAATCCCGCGCGTCGAAATCACACCCCAGCCAAGCGGTTGAGGAAACGGGTGCACAGTCATTTGTGTCACCCAATCAAATGCACCCAACAGTGCGTTTCGCCTGGTCGCATACTTTCGCGATACATTCAGTTTTTGTGACGCGACATTGACAAAATGTTTCGACGCGACCCGAGAAAAAGAGGGATTGAGACACAAATGTCCACACAGGAATGTACCCTAAGGTTGGTTGGGGTATACATAAAACTAACCCTAACTGCTATACCTCACTACAGGCTACAACATTTGACACTTTCGTAGCAGTAGCAGTAGCAAGGGCAGCAGCAGCAGCAGCAGCAGCAGCAGCAGCAGCAGCAGCAGCAGCAGCAGCAGCAGCAGCAGCAGCAGCAGCAGCAGCAGCAAAGGCGGCAGTCGCGCGTGCAGGGCAACAGAGCAGAGCAGGGCAGGCGCAGGGGGCAGGGCTCACGCGTGTGGGCAGGGCAGGGCAGCCGCGCGTGCAGGGCAAAAGCGCGGAGCAGGGCAGGGCAGCCGCGCGTGCAGGAGAGCGCGCGGCGAGCAAGGCAGCGCGCGGCGAGCAGAGCAGCGCGCGGCGAGCAGGGCAGGGCAGTTTCTCGTAATGTGCTACATTTAGGGGCCCCTAAATGCATCTCTCCAGGTGTACCGTAATCACCCGGACATACCACCCGCCGAAATTGAACACCCCCCGGGTGGCTTGTGCGGGGTGGGTGCTATAGCGGACCTCGTTTCTACTATACCCCCCTTTTGGGCCGATCCGGTATAAGACCCGGGGGGGGGGGGGGGGGGGGGGGGTTATGTACGGAAAAAATTGCAGTTTTCGCCTAAATTTTGCACAGGGACGTGACCGCACCAGCGAGGCTGCTAAGCCTGTTGCGGGACTCCCGCCTCTGTGACTGCATGAATCCTCGTCGAGCGACGGGGGGTGTGTTTTCGACCAATCAGGGCATGACAGAGGGCCTGTTGGAGCTTGCAATGTGGCAGCTTCCACTCGAGGCTAAAGGCGTGTGCACTAGGGGTTCAAACTTTTGTCTAAGTTCGAACTTTTAGCGAGGTTCTACTCGGTGCAAAGCGGTGAATGTTCGAACTTTGACAAATTTCGCACAATGTGCACACGCCCTAACGTTATCGCCTCATCCTCGGTTTTGCGCACCCAACCAACAATCTACCACCGCAGCAAGCATGTACATTTTGTTCCCAACCGTTTCTGCTTAAAAAAAAATGTACATTATAAAAAGACCCGGGTGTTATGTAGCTTTTTGCCATGACAAGACCCCCCCCCCCCCCCCCCCCCCCCCCCCCCCCCCCCCTTTTTTTGATGTAGTTATCATAGCACCCTAGGGTGGTATGTCTGGGTGATTACGGTACATTCCTGTGTGGACATTTGTGTCTCAATCCTATTGTGACGCGTAAAAACAGCATAAAACGTATTATGTCACAAACGGAATCGCCTTTTAGCGACCATTACTGTATTTTTCATTGGTCAGCGTGAAACGCGCTAACGTCGCGGACGAGTTGCAAATCGACCCGTCACTGGAAAAATGTCGCACGCGGTTCGAAATGTCAATGGACCTGAACACCCCCCAATGCCAATTTCGTGCGGGAAAAAAACCCGCGCGTCGAAACCACACCCCAGCCAGGCGTTTGAAGAAACGGGTGTACAGTCAATTCCGAAACCCAATCAAAAGAGCACAATTGTACATTTCGCCTGGTCGCCTAGTGTCGCAATACATTCTTTTTTTGTGACGCGAGATTGACAAAATGTTGCGACGCGACTCGGGAAAAGGGGGATTGAGACATTTGTGTCCACACAGGAATGCACCCTAATATATAGTTTTACAGGGATGTGGTGTGGACTGATCTGGTGTTCTATATAGAATGTGGGTTGATCTGAGTATTCAGTAAGCAGCGGAACTAAATACATGATTATTGGGCAATCTACATGGATAATACGGTATATACAGTGCTGACCGGCCCTAGTGTACATATGGCAGGTCTATTGTAGGCCTTTCTAAATTAAAACAGCTCAGCTTAACAGTTCCTACAGCATTCCTCCCTGGGTGTCCCGGCTAGAAACCCCATACCATACAAGCAAAAGAACGAAGTGAATGTGGTAGGTACTGCAGGAGCAGAGGAGAGGCAATTCAAGAAGGCCGCTTGTTAGGAGTCACAGTGAGTGCAGCAGTCGGTACAGCAGAGAGAGCAGTGGTGCTTGAGGCGTTCAGTGAACAGCAGGAGGCGGAGGAACGAGAGCAGGCGAAACATGGTTGCTGTGAGGCGCAGCAACAGCAGATGGGAGATGGCCCACGAGAGCAGCTGCAGTTGGACCGGCAACAGGAGCAAGCGCAGATCCAGCAATAGGACCAGCAGCAGCAGCAGCAGCAGTGGCAACAGGAAGAGAGTGTGACGGGTGGTGGGGCAGAGGAGGGTGGGATGTGCCATGCCGTGCTGGTTCACTGAGAGGAGAGTCATGCGATGCCGTGTCATGAGACCCATGTGCATCTGCCATGGGGAGCAAGAGGACGAGAGGCACATGAGAGGGATAATTAGAAGTTGGAACATTAGGAGAGCGAATGCGACCATTTGTTTTTAACTTTTTTTGTCTCCACCAGTCACCAATTCAATCTTTTGTGGGTATTTGTATCCCCTGTACCACTGATTCGCAGTGCTCACCTCGTTTCCACAGTACAGCGGGCCGCGGGGCGTCGTTCTTAGCGAGGTACAGCCCACACGCGTTGCACAGGTGTTGCCCTCCGCCCGCCCTGTCCTTTCGCCAGAACGGTGTCGTGTGCGTGCCGCAGTTACTGCACTCCTTCTCCTCTCCCCCTTCCCCCCTCCCATGGCCCCCCCTTTCCGCGCCCTCCCCCGCCTCCCCCGCGCTTCCCCTGTCGTAATGCGCGCCGTGGGCTCCCCCAACCTCTGCGCCCTCCCCGCTTACTGTGTGCTCCGCGCACCCCTTCCGCCTGCGCCGTTTCCGCGCGTGGGTGTCTTCGTCCCCGCCCTCCGCCTTTCCGTCGCCCAGCCTTCTCTTATCCCCGATACATGCATGCCCTTCTAAAGCCATTAGAGAGCTCGGCCTCATACTCGCCGCCACTTCCCCATACCCGGGGAAAGGCCACCCGAACGGCGGAAACTGCGCGCATCCAGCTCCGCCAAGGCCCGCTCCGCCAAGGCCCGCTCCGGAGATCATCCGCGCAGCCATACCAGGCGCAATCGTCGGCGGAACGCCACACATGGGGAGGGGGGAAGGCCGCGCAGGGAGGTGCGCCAAGCCCAGACCTTGAGCGGCTTGCGGAAGCGACGCGGAGAAGGGCGTGAGGTACGGGCTGCTGACGTGGCACGCTTCCGCCGAGGCGCAAGCGGGACCTGGATGCACGGGGGAGGAATCGGCGGAAGCGGACTCACGAGGGTCCTTGAGCTGCTTCCACGGGCGGAAACCAGAACTTCCGCCGACTGCTGCGGAGGGAAGCGCGGGCTTCCCCGCAAAAGGCTTCTGCTCTTTCGGAGCGTCCGCGCGGGGCGGGGAGCTCGGAGCCAGCGGAACCAGCGGCGCCAGCGGAGGCGGCGGCGGCGGCGGCAACTGAGAAAAACGCTGGTTCCACGAAGCTGCATCTGCGCCGGCGGATGCGCAGGGGATGGCGGGAGGCGGGCAGAAGTAGATGCATGGCTGCATGGCAGGCCCTGACACATGCTGAAGCCGTTGCTGCAGCTGCTGCTGCATTTGCTGCTGAATTGGCTGCTGAAGCGGCTGCTGCGGCGGCTGCTGCGACAGCAGCTGTTTCTGCGGCTGCAGCGGCACGAGGGGAGGTGGAAAGGGAACAAACGGCCCCCACCAGGTGCTTGCGGCCGGCACGGGCGGTAACGCCGGCATGCCACGGCTCCCAGCGGGTAGAAACGAAGGAATAAGAGCCGCAGCGGTCGCAGGAGCGGGAGCGGGCTGGATGCTAACCGGTTTCCTCTCGGGTACTGGCACCGGCGTCGGCTCTGCCGCGTCTTTTTTCTCGCGTGTCTTAAAAGCCATAATTCGCGCTTCTGGTTCCGGCTGCTCCTTACTGGGGCTTCGCTCCTTGCGACACGGCGCTGCGACAGCGGCCGATTCGGAAGGAGGATGAGGCAGTACCGCACCATTCTGAGCTTCGGCGATATTCAGCGCCTGTCCGTCTTTTAACGAGTCTGAGTCGGGAGTGTGCCAAAGACTAAGCTTAATGGGGACGGCTGTGGCAGCCACGTCAGTTGAAGCGAGAGGAGCGGGAGGACTGGAATGGTTGGGGGACACGGGGGTGGAGCGAGGGCAAGGAGGGTCCCGGACGGGCGTGGTTGGGAAGAACTGGAAAGCGGAGTGCACGCATTCGCATGGCTGCTGGCTGTTCGCGTTACAGAATGGAGCCAAGCACGAGGCGGCAGACTTGGGTGAGGTGTGAGAGACTTGTGTAATTTCGCTTGCAGATGTCAGGAGATTCTCTTGCTTTTTGCACGTCGCAGTAAGGTGATCCATTGTCTCGCGAGTACTTGATAGGAGAAGATAGAGCGGGTCGTTAAGTGCATAACGCACATTAAGGCGTCTAATCCTTACGGAGGCCCTGACGAGGTGTGCTCTACTTGAAGTGTAAGGAAACAACGAAGTTGAAATGCTAGAAAAATGATCCGTGGAATACTGTTGTATTTTCTCTGGAGTGGAAATGCTCTACTGCAGTCTTCTCTCTTCTCCACTCCAGCTGTTGCTGTTGGCCGAGATGCAGTCGCGGTGCGGAGGATGGGCGAGGCGATTCGCAGGGGAGTGACGGACGGATGGATAGGATACACAGTGAGTGGAGAAATACGGTGGAATAGAAATGAGTTTGAGAGGGTTCCGCTGGTTTCTAAAGGGAGTTCAGTTCGGTTGAACCTCCGATTTCCACCACCTCTCGATTGATTATTCCCACCATCTCCCATTCCTTCCGAGACCTTCTGGTTCCGAGCGTCGAGTGACTCGATCTAGTGCCCTCCAAACCACCTCCCGCACCATCCTATTGGCCTCATTCGTCATCCCTTTCTCCCAACTTCCAGGTTTTCGTTGGCCTGGGGTTGCTTTTCCTTCCCTTTGGATTGCTCGTTCCCCCTTCTCCCAACCGGACGGGCGAATCGAGCGCGAGGTAGGCTAGTCAACGAGAGATCGCGGTGCCAAGTGGATGGAGGGAAAACGGAAGGGATGGAAAAGCGACCACTGTGGATCAGCATTGGACGGAAGACGATAACGGAAATTTACCTTACCTGACGCGGACACCACATCTTGGGGATGTGCAGATGTCGACGTGGTGATCCCAACTTCCACTGAGTTAGGAAGAGGCACGTCAGCACGGTGAGGTTTGCGAATGAGTTCATGGTGACGATCAAGTGAGCCAGCACAGATGCGGGAAAGTCGTCAGTGGTCCCATGATCTGTCTCAGATCGACGTGTTTCGCGAGAAACTGAGTCCTGCTGATCCACACGTCGCGGATCACCGACAAAGCTTCCAATCAACTGAGACTGATGATGTGGAAAGTGTAGCTTTGTGTCATTTGTATCCACGTCACCATGATGTCAAGTAGAGTCACATACACGCCTTCCCAGACTCGTTCCGAACAACCTTCTTCAACGACAACCACGAGTTCAAGTCCAGTCGAGAATCTAGTGGTGCACAGTCAGAATTTCGCGGCTGACGAATGGGAAACGAGATATTTTGCTGAGTGTGCTAGCTTGTGGTCAGAGCTAGCCGTGAACACGTAACACTCGGTTCTTCTATACACGCCAGCCAGAAGTAAAGCTTGGCGTCTGGAAAGGCCCAGCGTCAAGCATATCTGATTTCCCAGCCACGTCGGTTCCTTGTCAGTCGCCTTGATCCTGTCCATTTGTTGAGGATAAGAGACCCTGGAACAGTTGGCCGAAAGCATGGCAAAATGCATGTATCGGGCCTTCAGATTATCCACCTAGCGAATCAGCCATTACGGAGTTATGGTGAATGATTTTCCCCTATTTAACAATATAGAGTGCACAGAGAAGGGAATCACTATAATAACAACATTGAAAGTACTAAGACCTGTGAGGTGGACATACATGCAAAACCTCGGGTATTATTTAGAAATTGATAAATAGGATTTTGCTTAATTACAACCAGCTAAGCATGGGATTTTTTTTTTCGAAGCCTAAATTGTGCAGATTATTCTCTCCTTCCCCTTCCAGTTTGTGTGTGTCAAATTGCTGGAATAAGAATATGGCTAATGGACGCTTGAAACTGATGCTGAGAAACTGCTGAATGTGTTACAAAACTAACAAATCGTTTCTAGAAGCAACCTCAATTCCCCTCCCTGAATCTTCGGTCGGGTTTTGCCTTGCCGACGCTGCGCTGGTTCTTGCCAGCAACCAAACTGAGGGAGAGGGCAAGGCAAGCAAGCCACTAGCGACGAGGGTTGGGAGTCCCAACTTGGGACGAGGCCCTGGAAATCCCGTTTTCTTGATAGTTGAGCAAGACACGTGCAGGCCACTCTAGCGACGAACAGGTGACAGCGCGTCATTGACGGTGACTTGCTGCTGCGGGCGTTAGGGTTACTGGAAGATGTAGCGGAATAGCCGGCGTGTACCCAGCTTGTTCTGGTTTAACCCTCATTGCAGTGGGTTTGACAGCATCTTCTTGCGTAGGTTAGAGTCCCTCTTTTCCAGATTTTTTAGGGTAAGCAAGGATGGGGAAGAATCAGCAGTACAAGGCGGCGCAGCGAGCCAAGTCGATGAGTCGTGGGGGTGGCGGTGGTGGCGGCGAGGATGAGAGCAATGATGGAATGGTACTGATGTTTGCACCTGTTGTGCTGCAATTCTCTAGGGCTAGTGATCAGTCCCATCGGTTTTTGTTTTTGAATGCTTTTCTTCTGTTCTTGTAGATCTCCATTGTTGCGATTATCTTGGTGGAACGGATTACTAATTCAGCCACTGGCAGGTTGATGGATCTTTCCATTCTCCAGCATGGCATGCTGCACGCCTGGCAGCCTTGCAGACCACCAACACGCTTACCTGGGAGGAGTGGAAGGCTCAAAGAAAGGTACGCTGCAATCTCTATGCATCGATAGACAAATGTTCGTTAACCAGCATTCCTGCTCGACCATGTTAAACCCTACTAAGAAGGGGAGAAGGGGAAGTAGGGGGGGAAGAAGAGGGGGGGGGGGGGGGGGGGGTCGGGGGAGAAGGGGGAAGAGGGAATAGCGTGATTTATACGCTTAGCTTCCATCTACCTCCTTAGTGCACCCGTGATTGATACTGATTGCGCTTGTCTGGCTCGGCGCGCTGTGCGATCAGGAGGAGGCGAGGAAGCAGCAGGAGATGGAGGGTTTTGAGGAGCAGCGGATGAAGGAGTACCGGGCTCAGCTGGACAAAGAGCGAGAAGCTAGGCTGTCGCGAGGACGAAACCACGCGGATAAACGCGGGAAATTAAAAAAGAGTGCGTCTGTGTTTTTAAGGCCTAAGCTTTGTTCTTGCAAGGATTCCATGTCTATGGTCCACTGATGTTCTATGCGTGTGCTCTGTTTCTTTCACCCTGACAACGTGTTTGTGCAGAAAAGGACAAAGATAAGAACAAGAAGAAGGTAAGCAAATTTGCTGCAGTTTTAATGCTTTACCACAATCTCGTTTCAAAGTCTCGTACCTGTTTGAGTCTCATTTCCGCTTCTTGCATGGGTACTCCATGGCTATTGTTTGACATCATGTTTGGCACTATTCAGAAAAAGGGAAAGCGCAAGAAGGGTGGCTCTGAAAGCGACTCGAGCAACTCGAGCAGCAGCGATGATGACAGCGACAAGAAGAAGAAAAAGAAGAAATCTAAGAAAGATTCGGATGCTTTGAGCAGTGCAAGCGAGGAGGAGGAAGGTCCGGTTCGGCTCTCTTCCTTCCTAGAGAAGGGAGATGACGACCTTCCAGGGTCTGACGATGAGGATGAGCTGCCGCCTGCTAAAGGCAAAGAGAAGGGCGGCGATTTATCAAGCATCTTAGCTGAAGCGAAAAGAAGAGCGGAGATTGGGGCTCACATGGTGGCTGAAGTAAAGAAGGCTGAGATGATCCGGTCTGGCCTGCCTTCCTGATACCTTCAGCGCTTCTGCCAGCCAGCCACCTTATTACCCTGGTACTAAGTACCTTATTAGCTCACTCTCACTGTCAGACGACTTTGAGGCGCCTCAAAGGCCCGTATCACCCTGGTACTACGTACCTTTTCAGCTCAGCTCACCCTGAATATCAGGGTGAATTGTTGTGTTGCCATTAATTGAGAATGTCACCTTAGAGCCTTACTGTGCCACCTTAGAGCAGTGTATTGATTGGTGGGTTTTTCGTTATTAGATGGTTACAATGGTTACAGCTACATGAGGAGCAAGTTGCTCCATTTAGAAGAGGAAAATGTTAAGTCACCTACCCACCCCTGCATTTGTGCTCTTCAAACAGTAAGGGAAGCTAAACACCTCTTTTCTGCAAGCTAACCCGCAACAAGCAAAAGCAATGCTTCGTTGGACGCTTGCTTATTCTGCCCCCCTCACCCTCCCTGCAGAAGCGACCAACGAAGCCTCCATATGCTTATTCACCCTTAGCTGAAGGGGCCAGGGTCCCAGCAAAAAGAACTGGCTCGGGTTTGATGGTAACTGTGAAGCAGCGGAGAGACCATCAGAACGCACCAGCGACACTCGGGCGGGTTCCAGCAAGCCTCCAGAATTGGCTCGGGTTCAAACTGAGACGCGTCAGAGATGATGCCGGGATGCACCCATGATGCCCGGCTGGCAGCATTGCTCATTTTCACAAGGGGCCGGACTGACCAACCCCACTACACCCAACCCAACTGCACCCCTCATCAGCACTTGGGGTTCTGCCCCGCCACGGCTTCCAGCCAGTAGCTGAGGTCAACAAACTGAGATGCGTCTGATATGATGCCAGGATGCACCCAACCCAACCGCACCACACCCCACCCCTGGAATCACCATTTGGGGTTCTGCCCCGAGACGTCCAGCCAGGAGCTGAGGTCGACAAATGGCTCGGGGTCAAACTGAGAAGCATCTGATATTATGCCGGGGTGCACCCATGATGCCCGGGTGGCAGCGTAGCCCGGCCCCGTGCTGCCCTTCTCTGCATAGTACACACAGCTGCCCTTGCTGTCTCCCCCCCACGTGCTCCACCCATCCCGTTCGAGCTCCTATGGCATACAAGGAGAAATGAGCGGCAAGGGGCAAGGGGCAAGGGGCAAGGGGCAAGGGGCGAGGGGCGAGGGGCGAGGGGCGAGGGGCGAGGGGCGAGGGGCGAGGGGCGAGGGGCGAGGGGCAAGGGGCGAGGGGCAAGGGGCAAGGGGCGAGGGGCAAGGGGCAAGGGGCGAGGGGCGAGGGGCAAGGGGCAAGGGGCGAGGGGCGAGGGGCAAGGGGCAAGGGGCGAGGGGTAAGGGGCAAGGGGCGAGGGGCAAGGGGCAAGGGGCGAGGGGCGAGGGGCAAGGGGCGAGGGGCGAGGGGCAAGGGGCAAGGGGCCGAGGTGAGAACGACGGAGGATGGACAGAGGCGAGAAAGGGCGAGGCGACAAGGAGAAATGAGCAGAATAAACGTATGTGGGATAGGCACCTGCATTGGCAGCGACTCACAGCCTTGTGACTGTTGAGGAGACTCACAGCAGGCATGTATAGACAGAGACAGAGACGGTGGCTGTTGAGATGGTGCGAGCACAGTCCCTCCTTCCAGTTGCAGCCCAGGTAGTCCTCTGAGACTCCCTTACCTGCCACAGCCCCATCGTTCCCACCCCTCACCAATCCCTCCCTCACCGTTCCTTCCCTCCCAGCCCTCTCACTCACCGCAGGCATGTAGCTGTCAATGAAGACGGTGCGAGCGCAGTCCTTCCAGGGCCGCCCCAGGTACACCTCCGAAACCCCCGGGTCTACTGAGATCTTGGCGTTGCGAATGACGATTCCCGTTGGCGTGTTGCTCTCTCGGCCCGACGCCGTGATGGTTGCGAATGAGCTGCGAGGAGAGGGGGGAGGGTAGAGCGGGGGGATGAGTGTGCGAATGACGATTCCTGTTGGCGTGTTGCTCTCGCGGCCCGACGCTGTGATGGTTGCGAATGAGCTGAAGGGGGGGGGGAGAGGGGAAGCGAGAGGGAGGGGGAGGGGAGGGCGGAAAGGAGGGAACGGGGGATTGAGTGCGGGGACAGGGCCGCCCCAGGTAGACATGCGAGACCCCAGGGTCGACTGAGATTTTGAACTCTTTTGAGTCGACTCAAAAGCAGACCCCAGGGTCGACTGAGATTCTGGCGTTGCGAATGACAATGCCCGTTGGCGTGTTGCTCTCCCGCCCCGACGCTGTGATGGTTGCAAACGAGCTGCGTGTGATGATGATGGATGATGATGATGATGATGATGATGCTGATGATGATGATGATGATGATGATGATGATGATGATGATGATGATGATGATGATGATGATGATGATGATGATGATGATGATGATGATGATGATGATGATGATGATGATGATGATGATGATGATGATGATGATGATGATGATGATGATGATGATGATGATGATGATGATGATGATGATGATGATGATGATGATGATGATGATGATGATGATGATGATGATAAACAGGGACCTCAGCCCCTTTGTCCACCTGCTCTTGTGCACGACGATGGTGGGGTTGTCTAACACCACAGCCGCATCGCCAAAAATGAAGTCGATGGTGCCGCCGATGTAGCAGTCCTTGTAATACTGCCTTCCCGCATCCACGTATAACGTGTCCTGGAAAGTAAGGGGAGGGGCAAGGGGCGAGAGAAGGTGGGAAAGGAAACAGGGGAGACAGCATGATGTCGATGGTGCCGCCGATGTAGCAGTCCCTGTAGTACTGCCTGCCTGCATCCACGTATAGCGTATCCTGGCGGGTGGGAAGAGGAGTGAAGGAAGGGGAGAACATAGGATAGCAACTCATTCGCTGCATGAGCATGAAGCCAGTGGTGCCGCCGATGTAGCAGTCCCTGTAGTACTGCTTGCCCGCGCCCACATAGAGCGTGTCCTGATGCAACAGAATGAGGAGAGAGAGGACGAAAAGGGAAGAGTAAGGAAAGAAGGGGAGTATGAAGTCATCAGCAGCAGTCGCTGTAGTACTGCCTGCCCGCGTCCACATAGAGCATGTCCTGGGGAGAGATGTAAGACGGGAAAGAGAACAGCACATCTGTGAGTATAAAGCCAATGGTGCCGCCAACGTAGCAGTCTGGGAAACGAGGGCAGCGCTCACCTGGTTGGCCTCCAAGGCGCATTTAAAGAAAGCAGAGCGGTTGCTGCCGGCCCTTATGGCCACTCTCCCTCATGGGCACTGCCTGCCTGGTGGCGTGAGACTCAACAACTCAAGGCAAGAAGAGGGCGCAGCAGAGGGCTGCTTGCTCAGAAGGCGCATTCAAACAAGGCACAGCGGTCGCCACTGGCCCTCATGGCCACTGCCTGGTGGTTTGAAAGTCAACTCCACTGAAGGCAAGGGGAGGACGCAGCAGAGGGGTGCTCACCTGGCTGGCTTCAAAGGCACACTCGAAGAAACCACAGCCGTCGCCACTGGCCCTCATGGTCACTGCCTGGTGGCTAGAGAATCAACTTAAAGGGGGATGCGCAGGCAGGGATAGGAATGCCATGCTCACCTGGTTGGCTTCAAAGGCGCATTCAAAGAAGGCAGAGCGGTCGCCACTGGCCCTCATGGCCACTGCCTGGTGGTTCTCCGGCCCGGCTGTGTTCTCAAAGCGGATGCCCAGCGCACAGAAACGCTCTTTGTTGGCACCTGCAAGCATAGAGGGGTGGCACGGAAGAGTAAGGTGTGCAGTGCGGTGACTTTCAGGTGCTTCGGCCCGGCTGTGTTCTCAAAGCGGATGCCCAGGGCGCAGAAGCGCTCCTTGTTGGCACCGAGGGAGAAACTATGCACAGTAACGGGACACGCCATAGCAGGGCACATAAGAATAAGGGGAGGATTTTTAAGATGATTTTCCGGCCCCGCTGTGTTCTCAAAGCGGATGCCCAGCGCGCAGAAGCGCTCCTTGTTTGCACCTGCGAGGGCACCATACACAATAACGGGACACACCATAACGAGGCACAAAAGAAAGAGGGGGGATTGTAAGTGCAGAGCGATAGGCAGTTGACCCTCTGCCAGCGCTCTTATCCCCAGTGATGATGGTTCTGTGGCTGCCCTCCCCCACCATGATGAGCCCCTTGTTATGGTAGGTCCCTGCAGCAGACCCCCCCTCCTACAATGTAGCACTCACCGATGGTGGCGGAGCGGAGCGGTAGGTGGAAGAGCCACTGCCAGCGCTCTTGCCACTACCGGTGATGATGGTACTGTCGCTGCCCTCCCCCACCTTGATCAGCCCCTTGCAGCACCACTCAATGCTGCCTGGCGCTCACCAATAGTAGCAGAGCGGTACGTAGTTGACCCCTCCTAGGCCCACTTACAGTGATGATGGCTTGATCTGCCCCCTTACAGTGATGATGGCTTGATCTGCCCCCTCCCCCACCATGATGAGCCCCCTTGTTGCACCATGCTTCCCCTGTTGCACCATGCTTCCCCTGTTGCACCATGCTTCCCCTGTTGCACCATGGTTCCCCTGTTGCACCATGCTTCCCCTGTTGCACCATGCTTCCCCTGTTGCACCATGCTTCCCCTGTTGCACCATGCTTCCCCTGTTGCACCGTGCTTCCCCTGTTGCACCATGCTTCCCCTGTTGCACCATGCTTCCCCTGTTGCACCATGCTTCCCCTGTTGCACCATGCTTCCCCTGTTGCACCGTGCTTCCCCTGTTGCACCGTGCTTCCCCTGTTGCACCGTGCTTCCCCTGTTGCACCGTGCTTCCCCTGTTGCACCGTGCTTCCCCTGTTGCACCGTGCTTCCCCTGTTGCACCATGCTTCCCCTGTTGCACCATGCTTCCCCTGTTGCACCATGCTTCCCCTGTTGCACCGTGCTTCCCCTGTTGCACCATGCTTCCCCTGTTGCACCATGCTTCCCCTGTTGCACCATGCTTCCCCTGTTGCACCATGCTTCCCCTGTTGCACCGTGCTTCCCCTGTTGCACCGTGCTTCCCCTGTTGCACCGTGCTTCCCCTGTTGCACCGTGCTTCCCCTGTTGCACCATGCTTCCCCTGTTGCACCATGCTTCCCCTGTTGCACCATGCTTCCCCTGTTGCACCATGCTTCCCCTGTTGCAGCATACCCCTCTTGCTCTCACCAATAGTAGCGGAGCGATAGGTAGTTGACCCACTGCCGGCACTCTTAGACCCAGTGATGATGGTCCTGTCGCTGCCCTCCCCCACCATGATGAGCCCTTTGTTGCGGAATATGATGGACTCATGGTATGTGCCCGCGCGGATGAATATCACAAACCGCCCCTCCTTGGGCGCTGCTCCCAACGCGCCCTGCGAGGGGAGAGGGGGGGGGGGCAGTAAGGGGAGAGATGATGGACTCGTGGTAGGTGCCCGCGCGGATGAATATCACAAACCGCCCCTCCTTGGGCGCTGCTGAGAGGGCGACCTGGTGGGGGGGGTTGAGGGGGAGTGGGGATGGGGAATGGGGAGGGGAAGGGCAGTAAGGGGAAAGGGGGGAGATAATGGACTCGTGGTACGTCCCTGCGCGGATGAATATCACAAACCGCCCCTCCTTGGGCGCTGCTGAGAGGGCGCCCTGCGGAGGGGAGAGGGGAGGGGGGAACAAGCACACACACACACACACACACACACACACACACACACACACACACACACACGCATGCACATGCACAGAGACACACATGTGTTGTACTCCTCTCCTCAACTAATCCCTTTCACCGCCCCAGTGTCAACTAATCCCTTTTACCGCCCCAGTGTCAAATAATCCCTCCCCCAGCCCAACCACAACATCATGACACACACCTCGCTTTCCCTCTCACCTCAACACTGTTGTATTTCTCCCCAGGCCCAACCACAGCATCATCTCACACATCTTCCTCTCCTTCCACCTCCACTCCTCTCACCTCCACGGTATTGTATTTCTCCCCAGGCCCGACCACAGCATCCGCCTTAAACGACCCGCGCGTCCCGCCCCCCCTTCCTCCCCCCGTCCCTCCGCCACTCCCGCCCCCCCCTTCCGCTTCCGCGTCCACTTATGCCTATGGTGCCCCACCCCGGGGGGTGGTGCGCGCCCCTGCGCCCGTTCCGCCACAGGTGCGTGTGGTGCCCGCGCGTCACTCCCCCTCCCCCTTGCCCCTTCCCCTCCCCCCAGTGGCTCGGCTGTTTCTCCTTATGCGCGGGTCCCGTGCCTGGCGCGTGGTGCAGGGTTCCGGGGGAGTGATGCCCCTTTGTGGGCGAGAGCGTGGGGCGCGGTTTTCTTCCCCATGGTCGTCGCTAGGCGGAACGGCGCGCGCTGCGTTGAGTGGTGCGCGGGGATGGCGGGAGGGCGGGCGGAACGGGGCCTAGGGGAAGGATAGGCGGAAGGGGGGTTAAGGCTCTTCCGCGATTGCCCTTGCGCCCGCGGCCCTTGCGCCTGTAGCCCTTGCGCCTGTAACCCATGCGCTTGTAACCCCCTCCGCTGTAGCGCGCCTCGTCCCCGCCACGTGTCACTCTTCCGCTTCCGCCATTGCCCCACCCCGAACCCTCGTCTCCTCCCTTCCGCCGCCCCCGCTTCTCCTACTTCCCCTTCCCCAACGTCGCTGCCCCACGTCTTCGCGGGAAGTCCTAACAGCTTGCGCCGTCTGTCCGCCCACTGCTGCGCGCGCGCGTGTTCTCCGCGCATGCGCGCCTGGAGCTCCTTCAGCTGTTCGTACAGCCCCACCTCCAGCCACTCCGGATGGTGGTAACCACCCGCTTCTTCGCCCACTTCGCCATCCTCACCGTGGTAACCATTCGCGCTTTCGCCACGATCACCACTGATACTATGGTAACCACCCTCTAGCGACGCCTGTCGGGTAACAGCAGCGGTGGCGCGCAGCTGCCGGTTTCGCGTGCCCGCGTAATCAGACTGTTGATCATCAGAATCAGCTGTCGCAGTAGCGTAATAATCGAATTCACTACCGTCTCCGTTGTTAGCATCAGTAGCAGCGACTTTAGCATCGCCACTGTAGTCATCTGATCCGCTATTGTCATTAGCATCCTGTCTATCAAAACCGTCACCTAAGTTAGTACCATCACCGTCCAAACCAGAGCCCTCGCTCGGACCAATATCCGTATCAGAGTCGCCGCCATAACCGTCTGATTCACCGTCGTAACCGTCGCTGTCATCGCTAACGTCGCCGCTATTGTCGCCAGCGTCGTCGTCATAACCTGAGCCCCTATCGACGCTTTCGCTACCAGAAACGGGGAAACTCGAGTCGTAACTCGCGATGGTAACACTGCTGCCGCCACTATCGTAACCACCATCATTGCCGTCGCTGTCTAAACCGCCGTCACCATCATCGTAATCATCCGGACCGCCGCCTGATGCGCCGTAATAGTCCGAGCCGCTCTCATAACCGTCGCTAATGTCGCCACCATTGTCGGTAGCGTCATCATAATAATCCGAGCCACTCTCGTCGGTTCCCCCCCCAGTAGAAGGAGCATCCAGGCGGTAACTCGTGCTGGTAACACTGCTGCGGCCACCGTTACGGTCAGCGTCTAAACCGTTGTCCTCGTTAGCCGCAGGTCCACTATCAGCGTCGTCGTACAAATCGTTAACTACGCTCCCAGTTTTACTTTGCGCGTCCTTGGCGAAATTAGCGTCATTGGAGTCAGCTGAATAGTCAGAATTCTCGCCGTCACTACTACTGCTAGTATCAGTATCATCTACACTTATGAAATCCGCAGAGTTGCTATTAGCTTGCTGGGATGCGCTGCTGCCTTGGGGTGATTCATCGAGATCATCGTACTCGCTATTGGCACGCTGCGACCCAAGGTACTCGTCACTGTAGTAATCCGATTGGCTGTCATTACTGCTTCTATAATCGTAGTCATCCCCAACGGACAATTCGCCTCCTGTTGGGGTGGATATGTACGACTCAATCGGAGTCGACTCTGACGAGGACGACTTCCCAAACCTGTCGCCATTGTTCGCTGCTTCGCCTTCACTCCCATACTCCACTTCCACGTCGCCGTTCCCCGTTCGTCCCCCGGTAGCATTTTTCGGATCGCGCCTCTTCTGCAGCACATCCTGCGGCTGATATTCCATCTCGTACAGCGACTGCGCCTGAACCAATTTCGGCCGTTGATCCGCCTCTTTAAAATGATTCCACCCCACCCTACTATCCCCATCTGTCGTGTAGTCACTGCCTCCGTCTATCGGGTCGTCATACTCGTACTCGCTATAATCATAAACCGGCTGCACCTGCGACCACGCGAGCTGTTGCGATTGCGCTTGTACCTGGAGTGCTGTGCTGTACTGTACAGCGAGATGCTGCCCCGCTGGCCCCCCTTGCGCCGCCTGCCCCGCCTGTGTAGGGCGCAACCCCGCATTCCCCCCTTGACCCAGCTGCCCCGCCTGTGTTGGGCGCAACCCGGCCTGCCCCCCTTGCGCAGCTTGCCCCAGCTTCCCTGCCTGCACGGGCTTCCCCGCCTGCCCCGCCTGCCCCGCCTGCCCCGCCTGCCCCGCCTGCCCCGCCTGCCCCGCCTGCACCGGGCGCATCCCCGCCTGTGTCGGGCGCAGCCCCGTCTGCGCCGTTTGACCACTCTGCCGCGCCTGCCATGGCCGCAGCCCCGCGGGTTGTTGTACGGGTTGCTGCACGGAGGGACGCGAACCCGCCCCCGCCTGTCCTCCGCGCATGCCGACCGTTTGCGCCACCTGCTGGCGGTCGCTCTGCTGCCCTCGCGCGAGAGTACCGTACCCTCTATAGGCTGACGCGATTGTGACGGCGGCGCTCACAGTGGACTTCACTTGTGCAGTTCCCATCTGCAAACGAGATATGGACATGAGATGTTCAATTGGTAAGAGGAGAAGGGCAGAAGCGACACGAATGCATTCCCGCATGGAGCCTTAGCACAGGCGATCACCGCATCCTTGAAGCAACCGGAAAAAACCCACATGCCTCAAACATGTTTCCCACATGCCCCACATGCCCCAAACATGTTCCCACTTGCCCCCCACATGCCCAATATCCCCCAGATGACCCATACCGCGAGAATGGTTCCCAGTTCTGTCTTGAGGACTCCGGGTGCGAACTCGGCGAACCCGGTAACGCAGTTACTGAGTTTCGTTTTGATTGCCGCCAGCTGGAAGCGCAAGTCGTCCCCGCGGGTTCCCGCGCGCAGCTCCAGGTATGCCTCGCGCACCTCCTCCGCCGCGTCCGCGCCCTGGCGGACGGGGAGGTATTGGAGAGGGGGAATGGAGAAGGGAGAGGGATGAGGAAACGGGGAGAAGACGAGCGGTTTTGGTGAGGGGGAATGCGGAGGAGAGAGTGGTTGGGAAGCGGAGGAAGAAGGGGGAAGCGGGAAAAGATGCTAGTTAACGACAGCACTGCACGGTGTGGTTGTCGTATCTGGTCAACGCAGTCATACCTGCTCAAGGCAGTCATCTGAGACAGCTCGGATGAAGTGCTGCTGACGTGGCGTGAAGCTGGAGATGTTACTCGTTTGAAGCCGTCTCACTACCCGCATCATGCCATGCACCTGACGAAACACGCACGTAGCAGAGAAAAATCGGAGCGAAATGTTGACGCTATTGTTAGGTTACCAAGCACGGCTAGAAGGTTAAAGACAGTCGCGTTGCACGTGAATGCGCGTCGTTGAGAGCTGATCTCACATGCTTCTCCACGCGCACGAGCATCGTCACATGCAATTCTAAAAATAGTCTTTTGAAGACCTTCAAAGGTGTCGTCTTTCGAGGCGCCTCTAAACGCGTCGTTGGGAGTTGCTCTCACCTGCACCTCCACTCGCACGAGCATGGCCGCAGTGACATCCTGCTGCTGCTGCGGCATCAACCCCAGCGACCGCCGCGCGCTGCGGAACTCCGCCAAGCACTCCGAAACCCGCGGAGACCCCGCGGACCCCGCGCATCCCGCCGGAGGGATGATAACCAGGAAGTTGTCTAAAAGGTGCCACGTGGCAGCGGCGGCCACAGCGAGAAAAATGGTTATTGCTAAACGGGGAGCGAGCTGCTCCATGTGTCCCTTTCTGACTAAACGCTGACGTGTGCTTCCACGCTGAATCTATGACACTAAGGTGAGAGACATTGTGATTGCAAGAGGGCCAGTGGAGGAATTTTCTTAGTGGTCGCCGGCACATTCAAAAATATTGAAATATGAAGAGTGGTTTGACATTTGTCGAGTCCTACTTGTCGTTTTTGTCGAAAACAGCGAGGTCTAGGCGTGAGGCTGGTTGCCAGTGCGCTTAGGCAGCGCATTTGGCGCGTGTCGCACTCGAGTCTAGAACCATGTCAAGAAAAGTCAAGAGTACGCATCACGCACCTCGGCTCGCGTGTCTGCTTTGATTGGCAGTCGACAATACAGAATCTGGACAATCTAGGTCATCCTCGTTCGTTGGTCCTTGCAACGGTGGGTGGAAATCGAAGTAGCATGGCCTCAAGAGATTCGACCATTCGAGTCCGAGCGGAGGATAAAGTAGGTAGAGTTGGTAGGAGAAATGGATCATGAGGGCAACAGCATGGTACGGAAGTGGTGCTATAGGAACTGGCCAGCCTCACAACTCGTTTCTATCGAGCACCCACCACCTCTCTCCCACTCTGTACACATGCTCTGATCTGAGTTGAGAAAGACGGGCGCTGTGTGTGGAAGCGCGGCTCCGGCTCGCCCCAACGCCACACGAACATGCGCGCTTCGCTAACGCGACTTGACGAGTTCACGCTGATTGGTGGAGTTAGCCCCTGTGTGCGGGGCACATTGATCGACCCAGAGCCTTGGACGGAAAGTGATTCTTTGTAATTCTTGGTGCGAGACTTTTATCGAGTACGTGTTTCGAAGTATCACCATCACATGTGTGTTTTTGGCATGAAATTCACGCGTATAAGGGCTTTGTTCATCCCAGAATAACAGATGTATTGAATGAATGGATACCTTATCTGCAAAAAGAAAAATGTCATGGATGATACTATACACACTAACGCACATCATATACAGCACACATCGTTTACAATACAATCAAGAAATGGTTTCCCGGCATTGCACAAGAAGGATGGCTCATTTTGGATCACATTCCCCTGCCGAGGAAATACTGAGGGCAGTGAGGCAGAGACCAAGGAATCAAGCCAGGCTTTGCCCATGACGCTCTCCCGCTAGCAGCAGCACCTGCACCAGCACCACCACCACTAGCAGAAGCTACAGCGTGAGGGGCACCAGGGCCGGAGCTGCCGGTCTCGGCATAGTAGACACAGCCGCCACGTGGTTCGCCATTCCACATGCTCCACCCTGCTCCCTGCATGCTCTGGCCGGAGATGTATATGGGGGTACGGTGCGGACAGAATGTGAACAGCGACAGGAGCACCGCGGCCAGAGCTTCCGGTCTCAGCATACACCTTTCCTCTGACAATTTCAGGGGGTGAAATTCCCGAATATAAAGTTCCCTTTAATTTCACACTCGAGCCTGGCTGCTGAGATGGACAACAATGCCTGAGCCTGGCTGCTGACGTGGTGCACAACGATCTGAGGAATGATTTCCAGCCATTGCGAATTCACCACGTCAGTCCACGTGTGGTTGGAATCCACAGAGAACAAATTCAAGGTCTCGTCTATGTTTGCTTCTGGGGAGTTTGTGTCAGCCGTTCAAGCGTTACAACAGGTTTTTTACAGGACGTAACTGAAATTTGACACGAAGGCCTTGGTTCAAGGTCTCGTCTATGTTTGCTTCTGGGGCGTTTGTTTTTGAGCCTTGGTTGATTTGACACGAAGGCGAGAACCCATGATCTGAAGACCCCCTGCAAACACCAGAAGCTCAAGCATCCAAGTCACCCCCTCCAGTATAAATTGCATCATTTCTGTGGGGGGGGTGATATCGGAGAACAGGTGTAGCTGCGCTCCCTCAGCCACTCGGGAGCGGACTTTTGAGTCGACTCAAAAGTCACCTCAGCACAGGAGCGGGAGCGGGCAGCTGGAGCTGTGTTCCCTCACTCGCTCAGGAGCGGGCAGCTGGAGTGTGGCTGCCATTGTTCCACTTGGACTCAATGGCACAAGGAGCACTTTCCCATAGCACATCTGAACAAGTGATTCATACCATTTTGCCATTCTCATTGCACCGCAAGCACACACAATGCACCACAAGCACACACAATGCACCAATGCACCACTTGCACACACACTGCACCACACACACCTACACTGCACCGCAAACAAATACACTGCACTGCAAACAAATACACTGCACTGCAAACAAATACACTGCACCGCACGCTCGTACACTGCACCGCACGCTCATACACTGAACCGCATGCTCATTTGCTGGTGCTCATGGGTTGGTGCTCATGGGCTTGCTCATGGGTTGGTGCTCACCTTTGGAAGGTAATTGCCGATCATCACGACCCGCGAACAATTCTTCCACGGCCGCCCAAACGAGCCCTCCTTCACCCCATCCCCCGCCGTCACATTACACCCGCGAATCACAATCCCCGTGGGGGTATTAGTTTCCCTCCCGGATGCCGTGATCACAGCTGTCGATTTCCCCGAGCGCATCTCCACCGTCGATTGGTCAATCAGAACCGCGGCATCTCCAGAGATGAAATCCGTGAACCCCGAGATGTAACAGTTTTTGTAGTACTGCCGCCCGGCGTCCACACAGAGCGTGTCCTGGTGGCCCGTGATTGCAGAGTCGTAGACGGCGGAGCGGTCGGCGGAGATCTCGAGAGCCACTGCCTGCTTGCCACGTGGCCCTGCTGTGTTCTCAATGCATATCCCTACTGCCATGAACGGTCCCCTGTCCACCGCTGCAGGCGAGAGAGGGTGAGAGCGACAGGACGGGAGACAGAAGGAGTGGCAGACAAGAAAGAAGAAATAATGGGAGACAGACCGAGCATTGTGACAGAGCCACATGACAGGACCCTGCTGTGTACTCCAGGTGGTTTCCCGGTCCCCGGTCCACCGCTGCAGGCGAGAGAGGGTGTGAGCGACAGGACGGAAGACAGAAAGAGTGGCAGACAAGAAAGAGAGAGAGAGAGAGAAAAAAAGACAGACAGACTGAGCATTGTGACAGCTTACCAAGAGCTGCAGAGCCGTATTTAGATGCGCCATCAGCCACACTGGCGTTGTCATGCCAGTAATGATAGTGCTGTCAACCCCTCCCTAACCAGCACTGAGAGCACTGAGAATCCAATGGAGCCCCAAGTAGGAGCCATGACCTTTACGTGGCTGCAACTTTTAGCAAAATGTTAGGTTTGTATGGGCTTGCTTAGAAAAGACCCTTGTATTGGAGAAAATGGTGGTAACTAGTTTCGGCTCTTCGAGCCTTCTTCAGACCTAATGATAGTGCTGTCAACCCCTCCCTAACCAGCACTGAGAGCACTGAGAATCCTACCTACAGTGGCAGAGGCGTACGTAGACGCGCCATCAGCCACACTGGCATTGCCAGTGATAATGGTGCCGTCAGCTCCCTCCCCCATCAGCATGAACTGACGAGCACTGAGAGCACTGAGAGCACTGAGAGCACTGAGACCCCACCTAGTGTGGCAGAGTCGGAGGTCGATGAGCCATGAGCCACAGTGGCGTTGCCAGTGATGACAGTGCGGTCAGCCCAGCCCCACTCCCCCAGCACCATGCAGTGATGAGCCTTGGAGATTTGAGAGCATTGAGAGTAGTGAGAGCATTGTCAGCATTGGATGCACGGGAATACCGAGGGCAGCAGAGCCGGAAAACACTCGCAGGGAATACCAAGGGTAGCAGAGCCGTAAGTGGATGCGCCGTCAGCCACACTCGCGTTGCCAGTGATAACAGTGCGGCCAGCCCCCTCCCCCACCAGCACCACGCCCTCCCTCCCCACGCGCACCTGCTCCCTGTACCGCCCTGCTCGGATGAAGATGATGTAGGGGCGAGGGGGTCCAGTACCTTGGGGCGGGGGAGCCGCGTCAAGTGCTTGCTGTTTGAAGGGCAGGGAGTAGGGAAGGGGAAGGGGGGGTCACGAGGGTGCGCATGAGGGTGCAGTGGGCCCCTCCCCCAGCAGCACCACGCCCTCCCTCCCCACGCGCACCTGCTCCCTGTACCGCCCTGCTCGGATGAAGATGATGTATGGGCGACGGGACCCACTGGCCTGGGGTGAAGGCGCTGCGTCAAGTGCTTGCTGTAAGGGGAAAGGGGGTGGGAAAGAGGAGGGGGGGGTCACGAGGGTGCGTATGAGGGTGCAGTGGGCCCCTCCCTCAGCAGCACCACGCCCTCCCTCCCCACACGCACCTGCTCCCAGTACCGCCCTGGGAGCGGTGGCTTGGCTTGGGCTTGGGCCTGGTGGCTTGGCTTGGGCTTGGGGGAGCTGCATTGGGCTGCGGAGGGAAGGGAGGAGAGGAGAGAGAGGGAGAGGAGGGAAGGAGAGAGTGGTTTAAGTGCGTCCACGCGCACGTGCTCCCTGTACCGTCTGCTCGGATGAAGACGACGTATGGGCGAGGGGAACCAGTATCTTGGTTTGGGCTTGGGGGAGCTGCATTAACGCAGCTTGGGGGCTTGCTGAGGAGGGGAGCGCGATTTGGAGGGGAGATGGAGGGAGGGGAGGGAAGTTGTGAGGACGACGAGCAAAGCTCTAAGGATGAGCGGCGCTGGAGTGACAGAGCAATGGCAGCGGGTGGTCACGTGTACAAAGTGAATCTTTGAGACGTCTCAAAAAGAGCAATGGCAGAGGGTGGTGCGTGCTGCAGAACCAGGCGAACCTCGCTTGCTGCCTGCCCATCCCCCTACGTGCCCCCCTGTCTGCCTGCCCATCCCCCTACATGCCCCCCTGTCTGCCTGCCCGCCCATCTCTCACCTGAATGCGAGTGAACTGCTCCCCTCGCCCCACCACCGCATCCAAAAACTAATCCCACGCCTCCTGCCGCCACTAACCTGTCTGCCCGCCCAGTGCCCACCCACGTGCGTGCCTGCATGCATCTCTTACCTGAATGCGTGTGTACTGCTCCCCTCGCCCCACCACTGCATCCAAAACTAATCCCACGCCTCCTGCCGAGACCCGCGCTGCCCCTGCCCCTGCCCCTGCCCCTGACCCGGCCCCTACCCCTGCCGCTATTCTCTTCTGGAAGGCCTTGATCGTCTTATAAAGCCCCACGTCTACCCATGCTGGCGCCTCGTATCCCTCGGCCCCCCCTCCCTGCTGCTGCTGCTGCTGCTGCTGCTGCGCGAGGGATTGTTGTTGCTGCTGACACGTGGCAGGATCCAGGAGTGGCACGTCAGCAGAGGCCAGGGCCACGGCAGTTTCAAGAAGAGACTCGCACTGGCCAGTTACATTCTGCATGCGAGGGGAAGCGGGCACAAGGGGAGGGAAGAGGAGAGTAGAGTGGGGGGACGGAGGTGATGGGAGGGGGCGAGAGAGGGAAAATCCAGATGAAACAGTACCCTGCCCCGGCATCAGTGAAGATGCCCTTCAAGAGGCCAGAGCCACTGCGGTTTCAAGAAGGGAATCGCACTGGTCAGTACCCTGCTGGGGCAGCAGATGCCCCAGCACACTCTCAAACTGCCGGGGCACACTGCACCGGATTTTCACCAGCACACTTCAAGTGCGCACTGGTGACTCACCGGCCTGCCCACAACTCAACTCACTGTGAGGGCGGCCCCAGCCTGGGGCTGCAGAGACGGCGAGTGAACTAGTTAAGCGCGCTCATGCAGTTGCGCGCTCATGCAGTTGCGCGCTCATGCTGTTGCGCGCTCATGCTGTTGCGCACTCATGCTGTTGCGCGCTCATGCTGTTGCGCGCTCATGCTGTTGCGCGCTCATGCTGTTGCGCGCTCATGCTGTTGCGCGCTCATGCTGTTGCGCGCTCATGCTGTTGCGCGCTCATGAATTTGCGCATGTGACGCTTGAATAAAGAGAGCGAACCTTGTACTGACTGCTTACCGGCCTGCCTCACAGCTCACAGTGAGGGCGACCCGGGCTGGGACTGCAGGGACGGCGTAGTGAAGTAATTGAGTGCGCTCATGCAGTTGCGCATGTGGCGCTTGAACAAACTTTGTGAGCGCACCTTGTGCTGACTGCTCGCTCACTGGCCTGAGGCTCACAACTCACTGTGAGGGCGGCCCCGCCGGGGACTGGAGGGATGGGGGAGTAAAGTAGTTAAGCGCGCTCATGCAGTTGCGCATCTGCCGCTGCGCCGCCGCCAGCCAGTACGGCACGTCCACCATGCCGCTTCCGCCAGCACCGCCGCCATTTGCGCCGCCAGATGCGCCGCTAGTTTCGCCGCCAGTGGCGCCAGCTGCTGCGCGGCGCGCCGATTCCGAGGAGAGCCGATCGGCCGCCAGTCCCAAGTGGTACAGCGCGATTCCCGCCTGATTTGCGCATTCTTTCGTTATAATATCCGAGTAATTAGTCCTGATCGTCGCGTTGGCTTTAATCTCCTCGAGCAACGGCAGAGCCGCCCGGACTTGCGATTGGACCCGTTGCACTAAAACGTAAATCACGGCGCGTCTGGAGGCGGGGGTCGCGCCTAGAGATAGTCGCGCGACGCGGAATTCGGAGACGCATTTCGTTCCGTTGAGAGCAGAGAGACATTCCCGGGGCGCGCGGAAAACGTAGTAGTTGTCTGCGATTAAGTAGAGGAAGGAAAGACACAGCGCCAACGCGGCCGTAACGGCAACCGCTCGGAAGCTTCTTCCAATGATAGGATTGGCGGATATTGGAGACTTGGAGAGTACATGCAGCGGTGTCGCGAAAAAGCTTTGCATCGTGGCTTGCGGCTGCAATGGCTTCACCTTACGGTGGGCTAGTCTCATCTCATCGCGTCTCGTCTCCGTTCGCGATATTAGTCTGCCTGTCCTGTCCTATCATGGCGGCGCGGGGTGTGCTGAATGCGCGAGTTGCCGTTCCAGCTGAGGTGAACGCAGGGAGACCGGGATGGTTCAAGCGAGTGATGCGGGAAAAGCGCGATAGTTGTCAGAGTTGTGTCAGAGCAGAAAGATCGCAGAGTTAGTCAACCTGTACATGCCCCGATCCGAATTTCATTATCTTCATATGAAGAATATTGAATCTCACATGGCTATTCCTCAAATATTTGAATATGGATTTGGTGATTGCAACGCAATTTTCAAGGGCTCAATTGAAATCGAAGATCAACTGTATTTGGCACAGCACAGTGCTTTGGAAAATTCCCTACTTTTATTTCCTTAACAAAATGATCAGAAAGGTTAGATCTAACCCTGGCGAAGCACAGCGCCAAGCCCACAAATAAGAACGTGACTGCAGAGGAGACTGCCCCTGCCACTAGAAGTGGCTAATATATGAGCTTCTAAAGGCATGGAGCGGGGAAGGCGCACGGGAAGCTAGGCACAGACAGAATTGACATTTACAGTCTTCACATGGTTGGGTGGAGAGGAGAAGCTTGGCTGGTGAGCGTTGGCTGGTGAATTCTGGCTGGAGACCTCTGCCTGCATAACTTGGGGAGAAATTTGCTGGAGAGACGCACTCCTGTACAAGCAGCTGCCTAGCAGGCAACCAGTCACGCCAGCAGTTGTCTTGTCGCTCCTCCTCTACTTGAGAATCCCATCCACCACATTCAGCCACTTGCTCAGCTCCAAAAACGGCTGCGGCCCAAACTGCTTCGCATCTTTGATAATCCCCGGCTTGGCCCACGACGCGCGCTTGCTGGCCGCTCCCGGCCCCGTGCTGCCCTTCTCCGCGTAGTAATGGCAGCTCTTGGGCTTGCCTCCGTTCCACGTGCTCCACCCGTCCGGCTGAATCTCCTTGGGAAGATCCGTATCAACATACACGACACGCGCACAGTCCTTCCACGGACGGCCCAGATACGCCAGCCGAACGCCGCTCTCCGATTGGACCTTCCCCGAGCGAATCACAATCCCGGTGGGCGTATCACTCTCCCTTCCCGACGCCGTAATCTGCACCTTTTTCTTCCCTGCCCGCAGGAAAATAGTCGGCGAGTCGATCAGCGCGGCCGCATCTCCAAAGATGAAATCCGTGAACCCCGAGATGTAACAATTCTTGTAGTACTGCCGCCCGGCGTCCACGCAGAGCGTGTCCTGGTAACCCGTGATGGCGCTGTCGTAAATGGCGGAGCGGTCGCCGCTCACCATCAGCGCTACTGCCTGCTCGCCTTCCGGCCCGGCCCCGTTCTCGATGGTGAGACCCACCGCCATGAATCCATCCTTGTTGGCGGCTGGTGATTGGCAGAGAGGGGGGCAAGGAGGAAGGAGGCAAAAAGGGGGGGCGGTGAGGGGCAACAGCATTACTCGCCGCGTTTACCATCAACGCGGGAAAGAACAAAGGTTGAAGGGTGGACAGAAGAGAGAGCCAAGCGAGTGAGCGACTTGCGACTTACTGACGGTCGCAGAGCCGTAGGTGGTCGATCCGCCGGCGACGCTATCGCTGTTGGTGATGATCGTTTTGTCCTTTCCCTCGCCGATCAGAATTATCCCCTCCTTATTGATGACGAGTTGTTCCTTGTACTTCCCCGCCTTGATGAATATAACGAAGCGGCCTTTAGACGGGGCGGCTTTTATCGCGCCGGAAATTTTGTTGTATTTCTCCTTCTTGCCCACCACCACGTCGGGCTTCAGTTTGGTCGCCGCCTTGGAAGCTCCGCCCTGCAGCTGACGGCGCGGATTTGCCGACAGATTTTCCGTTTCGCTCCTTTCCAGGACGCGCCTGCCGCGCTCCGCCCACATCCCCGCGGCCTCCGCGTCGCCAGCGAGGTGCGCTTGGAGCTCTTTGATCTGTTCGTACAGCCCCGCCTCGACCCACGAGGGTCGTCCGTCCGACTCGGGTGAGTCGTCGACGTGCTCCATCGTTTGGCGACCGCGCTGTGCGACTTGCGCCATCGCCGCCTGCGCGCCGTTTGTCGCCAGAGCGACGGCGGCGTCGTACGTGACCGCTGAGCGATGGATCACCGACTGGCGGAGGGGGGCAGATCACGAAGCACAGATAGGAAATTGCGAGTTTTAACATGGATTACTGCAAAGAGACATCTCGCCTATGCAAATAGTCTTGGCAGCGTGGTTGCAAGCTTACGCTTGGTTTACTGTATTTCATCCTCTATTACCGTGAGCTTTCGTTGCGACTTACGTTAAGCATGACACCGGGGGGCGTGCTGAGCGCCGCAGGGGCGAATTCCCGGAAGCCGTCGAGGCAGTTACTCATCTGGCGCCTCGCCGCCGCCAGCCAATACGGCACGTCCTCCTGGTTGCTGCCGGCCGCCAGCGCCGCCGACGCCTTGCCCAGATGGTACAGCGCCGTGTCGCTCTGTCGCTCGCAGTCGCCTGCGACGACGTTTCTCATGCGAACGTTGGCGAAATTCATTCGCCTGATCTCCTGGGCGAAGGATTGGATCGCATGCGCTTGTGCGGTGAGGGAAGTAACCATGGCTGCGCTTGTTGCACTGATCGGCCTTGGGAGTACCCCGAGCGAGCGCCGCGCTACGCGAATCTCCTCCACACATGCCGCTGGGTCAATCGTAGCTGAGCAAACGGAGGGGTGTCTTATAACAAAGTAATTGTCGACGGCGTGGCAGGCGGCGAGGAGCGCTATAGCGAGGCCCAGACCCGCGGCGAGCCATTTAAGCCTGCAGCCATTGCAAGCCATGGCGGCTAGGCGACGAGGTACCGAGGCAACGAGGCGAGGACAGACAAGGGCAGAGAGGGAGAAGGGTTCTATGCCGAGAAAACGTTCGCTTGTGCTCCGAGCTCGAGTCAGAAGTTAAAAGCCTCTAGGCTGCTTGTGAAACTGTGGTGAGGCGCGATGAGCGCTCAATTATAGCGTGTGGAGAATGCTCTGTATGTTAGAAAGCATGACGAGGCGTTATATGATCGGAAGCAAACGGGGCAAGCAGTGGGCGCAGCGGACACAGCTCGAATCGGTTGTAAGGGGCTGGCTGGAGCCGCGTGGAAGTGTGAGAATGCCCTTGCCTTGCCGTCAGCGCCCAGAGGAAGGCGCGATGTTGGGGAGGAAGCGGGAGAACTGGCAGGGGGTGTGCTGCTGAAGCAAGAAATTGTGGTAACGATGGGCTGGTACTGTATTCTTGCTTGGACAGGACACGTCACGTCACATGGCGCGACGACACTCCTCCTTGGGGACTGAATCTTTGGGAACTTCCAAACCAATCCGAGTCGTTCAGGTAACGTCCAGAGCAAATTTCCGGAATTTGTCGCGTCGAGAGGAGCGCGAATTACTATTGGCTGGACGACCGGCGCCCGAGAAGGATGCGGCGGTGGAGAGGCATGTACGATGGCTACGACGTGTTACAAACATCTCGAGAAAAGTCGTGAGTTTCGCATCCAGGTTTTGGTGGGGCAGTGTGCTCAAATGAAATACGAGTGGCACCACAATGTGAGAAAACCAAGAGCGCATCGAGCCGCTTGGACCCTTTTATGAAGCAAGCGACTCGCCAAGGTGGCGAGGAAATTGACGGCGATGCGATGGGACAGGAAGGGCCCACCCCTGTAATAGCGGCATCGAGGCGGAAAGTTTACAATAAAGAGGCTCGCATATTCACCTCCATAAGTTGACAATAAAGAGAGCTGCGCGGTGTCGGAAATCACGCCACAGGGCACCACTCAAGCGGCAGGGCGTGTGCTGGCGTGTGATACACTTGTGATCGCCCAGCGGCGGTTACCTTCGTTATTGGCGCTGCAGTGCTGGGCTGCAACTCCATACCAGTAACATTTCGGTACTGGCAAGGCTGTGTTGAGGCAGCACCTCATCATAGAAATACACTCAAAGCTAGGTTACAACTCGTAACACAAAGACGACCCGTTAATCTGTAAGGACTTCCATATTCCTCATCGTCTCAAACCTGTGCTAGTACTGACACCCAACCTTCCAGGCTGCTTTACACATTTCAAAATGGGAGTGCTGGTTCCTTAGTCTGAAGGCGCTTTGGAACCTCAACACTCATGGTTCGAGGTTCAAAATTCAGAGTAGCCTGATAAAGCATACGATAGTTGATGCGTGAGAGTTCTACGAGGCAAGCTTCTATGCAAATACGTTGATTAAACAAAGGTGCTAAGGGGCATGTGCAACCAATAAACCAAATGCTTGGGTGCCATTTGGTAAACTCTTTACCATTCTCACATCTCAGCCCATCCCCTCAATTCATTTGCAGTAGTGTGATCGCGTGCCTTATCATCATCATCATCATTACAGCATACATACATACAAACATCACACATACTTATTGCCACAAACTTACGCTGGCAAAAACCTACATTATGAAGATTTCCCAGCCGTCCCTACAGCCACCTAAACTATGTATCTCCATCAGCTCACCACTTGGGGTTCTTCCCCGCAACATCGAGCCAGGAGCTCAGATCAACAAACGGCTCAGGGTCAAACTGGGAGGCGTCTGAGATGATCCCAGGGTGCACCCACGATGCTCGCGAGGTGCGTGCGCCCGGCCCCGTGCTGCCCTTCTCTGCATAATACACACAGCTGCCGCGCGTGTCCCCTCCCCATGTGCTCCACCCGTCTGAGTTAAGCTCCTGAGGTAAAGGAGGGGAGAAGCAGAGAGGGAGAGGGGGTCTTAGAGTGTTCAAGTCAGAGTGAGCAATGGTTGCCCGTGCGTGCGGGGAAAGAAAGGGGGTTGCACTGACACAGTACTGATACTCACACAGCAGGCACAGCAGCATCATCTCACATCAGGCATGTCGGCACAAACCATTCCCATGGTGACCCTCCATGCACAAAACAAACTGCCATGTCAACTCACAGCAGGCATGTAGGTGTCAACATACACCATGCGCGCACAGTCCCACCACTGACTCACCGCAGACACAATCAGCATAAACCTCCCACATCATCCTCCCAGCTCGGAACCAGGCAACCCCCCCTCCTCATCAACTCACAGCAGGCATGTACATGTCGACATACACCACGCGCGCGCAGCTCTTCCACGGCCGTCCCAGGTACACCTCCGTGACGCCCGAGTCCACGCTGATCTTTGAGTTGCGAATGACGATCCCCGTGGGGCCGTTGGTGTCGCGGCCCGACGCGGTAATGGTGACGAACGAGTGGCTCGTGTGGAGCATATCAAACCCCCGCATATCAAACCTCCCATCTCATACACCCGCATCAACTCACAGCAGGCAAGTACGTGTCGACGTAAACCACGCGCGCACAGTCCTTCCACGGCCGCCCCAGATACACATCAGTAACTCCCGGATCCGTAGAGATCTTCGAGTTGCGAATGACGATCCCCGTGGGGCCGTTGGTGTCGCGGCCAGACGCGGTGATGGTGACGAACGAGTGGCTGGTGTGGAGCCGGATGTCCATGCTGTCGAGAACCACGGCCGCGTCGCCGAATATGAAGTCGATGGTGCCGCCCACGTAGCAGTTCTTGTAGTACTGCCGCCCCGCGTCCACGTACAGTGTATCCTGGAGGGCGGGAGAGGGGAGAGGGAGAATGGGGGAGGTGAGTTTGCTAGTTTGTGTCATCTTCTTTGAAAGAAAGAAGATGGTGAAGAAAGGATCGTCCCGCAAGGGATGGTAAGAATGTCTGCAAGGAGGGGGGGGGGGGAGGGGGGGGGGGGGGAAGGCAGGCCGACCATTTGATGGTGGACATAGAGAGTACGGCTTTCGTTAGGTTCGCCGAATTACTGTTACGTGGTTTCGCCACTGACCTGGAAGGCTTCGAACGCGCATTCAAAGAAGGCGGAAGCGTCCCCGCTCGCGCGCATCGCCACCGCCTGTTCGTTCTCGCGCCCCGCCGTGTTCACAAACTTCACGCCCAGCGCCACGAAGTTGTCGCGATTCGCCCCCACGGTCGCCGACTTGAAGGTCGTCCCCGACCCGCCGCCCATGCTCTTGCTGCCCGTGATGATCGTGCGATCCGGCCCGTCTCCCACGAAGATTATCCCCTCGTTATCGAATTGCACCACTTCGTCGTATGTTCCTGCTTTTATGTAGATAACGAAGCGGCCCTTAGCGGGAGCGGCGTCCACGGCGGATTTCACGCTCGAGTACTGCTCCCCTCTGCCCACCACCGCGTCGGGCTTCAGGCTCGGGGTGTACGACCCGCTGGAGACTGCCGCCGCCGCCGCCGCCGCCGCCGCGTCTGCCTCCTCCGCGCTTCCGGTTCTTCCCCTTCCCCGGATGGTGACCGACCCCCTTGGGGTGGTTTCCGCCGACCTTCTTCCCGTTTTTCCACAGATGCTCGTGTCCACCGATCCCCGGGGGATGGTTCCCCCCGCGCTTCTTCCCGTTCTTCCACAGGTGCGCGTGCCCGCCCACGCCGGGGGGGTGTCCGCCCTTTCTCCGCCCGTTATCCCAGAGATCCGCGTGGTGCCCGACGCCCGGGGGGTGTCCGCCCTTCAGCTCCCGCCGGGGGATCTCCGCTGGTGCGGGGAGCCCGAGCAGTCCGCGGCGCTTCTCCGCCCACTCCTGCGCGCTGTCGTGGTCCCCCTGCATGTGCGCCTGGAGCTCCTTCAGCTGTTCGTACAGCCCCGCCTCCAGCCACTCCGGGTGCCCGTTGCTCTCGCCACCATTCTCCAGCGCCTGGCGGCCGCGCGACGAGCGCGCCGCAGCGGCGGCTTGCGACGTGAGGTCGATGGCGGCGACGAGCGTTGACTTGGTCAACGCGCTCTCAGACGCGAGGTAAACGCCCGTGGGCGTGGAGAGCGCGGAGGGCGCCAATTCGCGGTATGTCGAGAGGCAGTTGGAGAGTTGCGTCTGCGCCGTCTGCAGCCAGTAGGGCAGGTCGAGGACGTTGCTGCCAGCGCTGATCGCGGAGGAAGACTTCTCGAGCTGCGCCAGCGCCGCACTCACCTGCCATCGCCGAACCACACGTGATAGATTAAAAGAGAACCCAAAACTGGATAGTCTCATGTAAATGATGTATCGTTAAGGCTGGAATGTGGGAAAAGCTAGAAGCTGATCGAGGTGCGGATAATGCGTTGCGGTGCCCTCACCGTCAAATTCGGTAGCTGTCGCGTACCTGGGTCACACAGTCGTCGCTAACGGCCTCGACCTCAGCACTCCGGCCCGCGTTGGCCGTCTGAATCTCCTTAACCAGCTCCAGTCCCGCCGCCACCTTCACGCGCGCCGACTCGATCATCGCCGCCGTCACCTGCTGCGTCGAAGCTGGAGCCGCGCCGAGGGAGCGGCGCGCGATGCGGTACTCCGAGACGCAGAGTTCCCGCTCCGCGGACGCGGCGCAGACGGGCGGGTGACGGACAACGTAGAAGTTGTCGATGGCGTGGAGCGCGGCAACGGACGCGAGAGCCACGGCTACCGCGATTGTGAGCCACTTGATGCTGAATCTTGCGAGCACGGTACTCGTGCCCATTGTGACGTCTGTGAAAGACGAACTGAAACAATATTTTTCATACAAAAGAGGATATCTTTAGCTCGCAAGGAAGAAAACACGAGCTGAAAGGTTGAAGAACAGCAGTTCGATGTTTCGAATTCGCATTCGTGGGATTTTGTAGCTGGTAAATTTGGTTTGAAGGTCGAAGGGGGGAGGAATGTGATGACATGAGATGGTTGGAGGGGAAATTCGTGGTCAGAATTTACAGCGCCCGCAAACCCCTCAAACTCGGCAACGAACGAATCTCATCGGTATCTACGACGTAACCCTTTTGCGAAGGTCGCAGCCAGGGCGCTGGCAGGAGGGTTGTTGTGAGACGGTTCGGGAATTTCTGGTTTGGTTTGGAGTTGGACTCCACTAGGGCACTCGCGACTCGCGAACCGCGGTATTCATTGGGCAATGGGCACCATCGTCGTCGAACCGTGATGTGGTTGGGCAATTTCAAGTGACGGCATCGCGTTGTATCTCCCAGGCTTCCATTGGACCAAGACACAGGGGCCAAGGGGAGTGAGGGGGGATGTGCGGCAAGGGATTCGTCTGAGGCGTGGGCAGGGGAGCTTAGTCCGGAAGCTGCGGCCCCCTCGCGTGGAACGGTGAGCTTCAGAGCTGCAAATCCGCTTATGAACCTGTGTGAGGTGACAAGAGACGAGATCTCTGCCGTTGAAAGAGATCCTAAGGGTGTTATCGCGAGACTGCAAACCTGAAGATGTTGGTCAGGAAAAGCAGGATGTGGTGCCGCATTTGCCCTATTCGCGAATTGCGTGTGTGGCACCACTCAGTTACACAGTCAAGACGTTGGCGCTTCGTCGCTTTGTACAATCGCGATAAGTGCTGCTCTTTGTACATCGTTGAACCACGCACCAACACGCCTGGAGAACTGGCCTCACAATAACAATGAAACAATTTCTAATGAGGGTATATTACCAAACAACCACAACAGTGTTGACAGGGGCTATAGGCGCTTGCACTAAGAGCAAGTGAGAAACATCATTTCCACCACTACAACACAATGAGGACGCTTTGCCAAACCAACCAGAGCTTCCACTAAGGGGCCATAGGCGCCTGTGCTAGTAGCAGGGTGCTGCAGCTAAGGAGCAATAGGCCCCTGTGCTAAGAGCAAGTGAGAGACATCATTCACACGCACTAATTTCCAACCTGTAGCCGGCGAGAAAGCCACAGTACTCACTGAAGTGTGATCCACTACTATCTTGTGAGTCAAGTGCGGGCTCGACCCCAGCAAACCCCGTAACAGGCATTTAATCGCAGTGCAGTGCGAAAAAATGCCAATGCGGTACTTGAGAGTACCCTTGCTGCTCTCCTCTTGTGCGGAATCGCTGGCTTTGGCTGTCATGAGTTGGGCGGCGTGGTTGGTGGCGAGACGGTTCAAGAAGCTCACCATGCGACACTCCACCTGCAGTGCGGGGCCATGGTGAGGGCACGACACGACGACAAAGCACCAGGAGTGCACAATAAGACGGACGGACGTGAGAAGGACGAAGAGAGATGGTGGCATCCATTCATGAACGATACCTTGCCAAGGTACCGCTTCTCAGCTTCATGAAAGATATGAAGCTGACAAGCGATACCTTGCCATTTATGAGGCGCTCCATTCATGAGGTGCTCTCCAGTCACCAAGTACGGACAGTAAGCAGCCGACATGCCCCACCCACCAGCAGCCCTCATGGCTGATGCGAGCTCCATTCAGTCTGAAACACACCCACCAGTTTGAACTATTCCATAAGTTGAATAAGTACCATATAGTGCACAAACCACTTCCAGTCCCTTTATGATCAAATCAGAACCCTACAGTGTACCAACCAGTCCTTATCAAAGCTGACCTGGCGCTGGGATTCGCCGCCAGGGTAGCAAAAGTCGGGCTGAGAGGCTGTCATCCATGCCCGGGCAGCGTCGGAAGAAAAGAATTCTGCCCGGGGCTTTCCCTCCCAGTCGCCCGCGCTCATCTCCTGAAGCTCAGTTGCTTCCTGTATGCGGCTGGTTGGAAAGCCTAGCTCCTGGAAAAACGAGGGAGAAAGGAAGGGGAAAGAGGGCTGGCTGCCGCAGCTCCCGAGGTACTGAATTTCCCTCCCAGTGACCTGCACCCATTTCTTGAAGCTCAGTTGCTTCCTGTACGCGGTTGGAATTCCCAGCTGCCGTGGGGACGAGAGAGGGTGAGAGGGGATATGAGAAGAGAGACATGAACACCCTAGCTTTGGAAACTACCCGAAGCTCAGCGTCACTACTGCTTCCCTTCCCATCGAAAGAGACCGAGTGAGCGAGTGTGAGTGAGTGAGTGAATGAATGAGCGAGGGAGTGTGAGTGGGAGAGTGCGTGAGTGTGGGAGAGCGTGAGTGAGGCCTTTCGCCTGGCAGACGACGTGGGTAGTGTGGCTTGCGCGGGGGATGGGCCATGAGAACACCTTACCCCACTGGAGCCGCAGGTAGCGGCGCAGAAAAGTCGTCAAAGCGACGGCTTGCTTTCACCCCGTTGGAGTGAGTGAATGAGAGAGTGAGAGAGTGGGAGAGGCCTTTCACCTGGCAGACTAGCCGAGCAGTGTGTGTGGCGCGGGGGATGGGTGAGCAGTGCACCTCGTCCCACTGCAGTCTCAGGTAGCGGCGCAGGAAGGTGCCCAGAGCCATGGCTTGCTGGCACCCCATGGGGGTGAGACGGGCTGCTGGGGAGCGACCGGCTATGAGGGCAGGCGATTGAGTTGACTCCCCGTGCCTTGGGTGGGGAAAGGAGGGGGGAGGGAGATGGGATTGACGAATGAGTCACCTGAAGAATATCACTTGATATTATTCACCTCGTTATATCCACCTGAAACACCTGAAGCATCACCTGAAGCATCGCCTGATGGCATTCACCTGAAGCATCACCTGACACATCACCTGAAGATTCACCTGATGATGTGGAACTCGACGCTGATGCCACTGCTGCTGGCAGCCATCATGGGCAAGAACCAGGTGCACGTTGGCGGGGAGATGGGAAGCAGAGAGGCTGCAATGGGAGAGGATTGCGCTGTATATGCTGCTGCTATTGCTTCATCCGCTTCTGCTGCTGCATCTACTTCTGCAACTGCTGCTGCCCCAGTTGCTGCTACCTTTGCTGCTGCTGCCTCTGCTGCTGCGTCAGAAGGTGCTGCTGCTGCTCCTTGTTCCTCCGCTTCTCCGCCTGCTGCCTCTCGTGTTACCAGCAGTGCCTCTTGCGCTGCTAGAGTCTGCCTGCCTGCTGCTCTCTCTGCCTCCGCAGCAGTAGCCTCAGTGGCACAGTCCACTAGCGAACTCGGGCCCCAACCAGGCACATTAGTAGCAGCAGCAGCAGTTGCATTAGAAGCAGTAGCAGTAGCAGCACCAGTAGCATCAGCATCCGCAACAGCAACAGCAGCATCAAAATCAGCAGCAGCTTTAGCATCATCAGCACCAGCAGCGGCAGCAGCAAGAGGCGCAACGGGAGCATCAGCCACTGCACTTGTCACGGCACTAGAGCTGTCACTACCCATGCTGCCACTACCCATGCTGTCACTACCCATGCTGCCACTGCCCACGTTGTCCCTGACCGCGCTGGCCCTACTCACGCTGCCAGCAGGGGAGAGCAGCTCAGGAGTGCCAAACTCACTGTCCGACTCCCACCCGCCCTCGTCCACACCAACGGCAGCACCACGCACCTCATCCGCACCTCCCTCACCCCCCTCTCCCATCTCACCCGCGTTCCCTGCCAGCCCACTACCCTGCGCGGCTGGTGCCACCTCCTCCCTCTCAAGTGTCTCTCCGTGCGCTTCTCGCCTGCCCACAGCAGTACCACCGCCATCAGTTTGAGACGTTTCAAAAGTCGTCCCTGCAGGTGCTTCCCTCCCACCCGCAGCACCGTCACCCTCACTCTCCTCACCTCCTTCGCCCCCACTCACCGTGCCTGCTCCCCCCCCTGCGATTATCCCTGCTGCCACCGCTGCTTCTCCTGCTGCCGCTTCACCTTCTGCTGGGACGCCTATCCCCGCAACGGCTTCTTTCTCTGCAAGGCCCTCAATCCCCGCCGCTGCTTCTACCGCCTCAGAGACCTCCTTCCCCGTTGCCGCTTCTCCCTCCGGAAAGCCCACCTTCTCTGCTGCTGCCTCACTGTCCCTTTCCAGCGCATCTGACGCGGGAACCAGCACTCGGGGTGACTTTTGAGTCACCTCAACACTCACCTCTACCTTTGCACCACCCTCCCTCTCAGCTGCTGTCTCCTCACTGGCCCTGTCTAGCGTGCGTGATTCAGCGGCCAGCACCCGAGGTGACTTTTGAGTCGACTCAACACTCACCTCTCCCCCTACGCCACCCTCCCTTTCTGCTGCTGCCTCTTCACTGGCTCTATCTAATGCGCGTGACACAGCAGCCAACACTCTCTGTAGTCTTACAGGGGACCCTGGCTGCAACGAGGCTGCAGCTTCGGCAGCAGCCTCGGAAGTAGCCTCGGCAGCCACCATAGCAGCGCCGGAGGTTTGGAATGGAGCCATGGTAGCAGCTTCGGAAATTTCTCTGCTGCCCAAGACGACCCAAGGCGCCCCCATGCTTCCGCCAATGCCTACCCCGATCTCATTCCCCCTGGGGCCCCCAATCATCCCCCCTATGCCCATGCGTCCCCCACCCGGCCCAGGCAGTTTCACAGGAGTTACTGCTGCTCCCGCACTTGATACCACCCCCCTTCCCCTCCCCATCCCTCCGCCTGGTTCCCCAAGTCCCCCCATGCCCACTCCCCCCCCCATTCTCCTTCTTTCCCGCAACGCTCCGTCTTCTCCCAGTGATAATTCTGCAGCTGACTTGGCGTGCGCGGCTGCTAGCGCTGCAGCGGTGACGTGTCCATTCCCGCTCGTCGCGACGACCACGTCAGCGTCGGCGGGAGCGACGCGCCCGTCGGCGGAAGTGGCGCAAGCAGACCTGCTGAGGCGCGACGATCCGCGCGAACCCTTCCGCCTGTGGTGCGCCTTGGGCTTGCGCGCAGGTGGACGCGCGGAGACGGGGGCAGAATCGTACGGTTCAGCAGAGTCAACGGAACGAGGGGAGGCAAGGTCAAGCGAGTCAACGGAGCGGGGCGAGCAGATGAATTCGTCGCGGTCAAGCGAGTCAACGGAGTCAATGGAGTCGACGCTATAACTTCTCGCAAGCTCGTCCCCGTCTCGCGCAGCATCTAATGTACCGCGCCGCTGGCCGCCATCCGCTCCTTCCGCGCGGTTCTTCCGCCCATGCAGCTCCGCCTGACGTTCCGGACTCGTTGTTTCCGCAAAGTCTGTATCTCCCCCCTGCGCCCTGTGACGCTGTCGCTCTCGTCGCCGTTGCTGGTTACCCTGTTGTCCCTCTTCGCCCTCCTCGTCGGAATCCGAGACGACTAAAATGGATTCGACCGCTCCCATGTTCGCACGACGATGCTAACTCTCTCACGTGCGGAGCAGCGTGCAAAGCGGATAATTTCTTATCACCTCACAAAGTGCTTCAGGATCCAGCTGCTGCGGTAAGGACGAACATCACTACAGCTGCTTTCATGTGCTGCGGGCCTGTGTGTTTGTGTGAGTGCTCGATGAATCCACCATGGAACGAACCAGAATGACTGTACTGTACCACAAGGTAACGACAGGTAAACTTGACAGAATGGTAACGTCGTTCGAGTATGGATGGATTCGAGGAGCAGTTCAGGAGGAAACAGAAAGGACGAGCCCAGGTTTCGGTTCTGTAGGATCAGGAGGACTCGCGCGTCCCGACGAATGCAATCCCGAGGGATGACATTGGTCCTTCTTGGGACGAGACCGGATTTTGGTTTTGTATCTTTCGGCGATTCAATAACGGGTCTGTAATATGACGAGCTAGTACACTGCTACGGATTAGTTCATATAACTGGAGTTCTTTTTCGTTTTGCGGGACTCTCGATTTACACGTATCGTGTGCACTTTACGTGCGGAGGGGTGCCACACAGCCAAACCTGCACCATCATTTTCTGAACAAGCAAGCAAAAATGCCATCAAAGCACCCGTTCCCCTCGCTTTAGTCTTATCAAGGATGTTTGCCCAATTGCACCGACCAGAACCCACAAAGACCAAACCAAATTGCAACTTTTACTCACTAAAATCACGCGCCCTTCCCAGATACAGTAGCTTCAAGCCATCATACCCCGAATTCCTGGGTCAATCTGACCTACTCCCGTCCCAGCTGGCGATTCCCCATCACCCTCCGCCAACCTCCCCCCACCCCGCCGGCCCCGTTGTCAACCGTCAACCCCCACCTCCCCTTTTTCTCCCATTTTCTCCGCAGGGGCGGAACGAAGATCTAAAAAAACCAGTTCTGAATTTTGCTTCAACAATGTGAGCAAATGTCATGACATGCCCATTTCAGCCAGCAGCTTGTTAGGCAGATGGCTGCGAGTCTGGAAGCTGGTGGAGGGTGCGAGGTTGATGGCTCAATCTAAGTCGCTGGGGAAGCCGACGCCGGTGTTCGGAGACAAACATTATTTTCTGAATCGATCATCCTCAGGCGTTTCTTAATTAATTCTTACTTTTTAGAAGCGAAATTGCGTGGTGGAAATTGCATCAGTTCACCAGCATAGCCTGGGCCACGCGAAGCCACAATTGTCGCGGCGTGGACTGATAACCTCGAGTTCTCAAAGCTCCATCGAGCATCCTTAATGGTGCCGGTCATCCCTCCCTCCCCACCCTTTCGACATTGAAGCAACATTTAGAAAAAAAAATCCTTCTTGCAGAGCGTCTTTGGTTTGTGCCGGCCAGCCCTCTTTTCTCACTTTCTCGACGTTTCCCGTTGTCTTTTTCATCTTTGCTCCCTTACTTCATTTCTCCCCCTCCCTGCCCCGTCTGTAGCTTGTTAAGCTCTGCTATTTCTCTCTCGCTAGAATATGCAAACGCAACTCACTCTGAGCCTGGCAATCTAAGCGTTTGCGCATTGCTCTTGCCTTCTCGACATGCCAGCCTCTGTTGCATCTCGGTCCCCTTACTGATTTACTCCTAAATCCCTTGGGCCCGTGTGTCGCTGACGGCAACGGTAACTTTTGAGTCGACTCGAAATGGTTCTGTTCCGTGATCATTCGGGCCGCATCAAGGACCACTGCCTGTTTAAAACTTCTTTTTTTAGGCGGCTTCTCGCGATACTTGTGAAGCCTTTGTGTGAGTGTCAAGGACGGCACTGGCAATCCCTGCTGCATTTCGATCCTTCCTTTAATCCCTGTTATTCTCTCCGCGATTCCTATTTCTTCGTGCCTGATTCTTTGGCTGGTGTGCACAGGACGCCGACGGCAACCCGACCGCTTCGCCGCTCCGAGCTGTTGCTTCCGGCCTGCTCGCGCGATTCAAGGCAAGTCTCGCAGTCTCACACTCGTTTCCAGCGATTCAAGGCAATTTGCATAGTCGCACACTCGCTGCCGGCCGGTCAATGCAAGTCGCGCACTTGCTACTGGCCGGTCAATGCAAGTCGCACACTCCCGCTAGGTCAATGCAAGTCGCACACTCCCTCCCGGCAAGTCAGTGCAAGTAGCACACTCCCGCTAGGTCACCGTTTTGCCTCGCCGCATCGCATTCCCTTTAAACCGTTTTTCCTGCCGGACTGACCGCGGATGCTTCCTCGAATCTTCGAGATACCTCGATGGTGCTTCTAGGATACTGCTAGGATGCTTGTCGGAGGTGATTCTTCCGCGATGCTTCTAAGACGTCAGGCGTTTACAGCATGGCTGTAGGATACAGTAAATTCTTAGTGCTATGGTGGAAGAAAGGAAAGACGCCTTGACGCGCTGACACGCCAGCCAGGGTTTTTCTTTCTTTTCTCCTCTCTCTTTCCTCCCCACTTTCCCCCATCCTTCCCCCACTTCTCCCCACGATTCAATCATCCAGCCCGGGGCCCCGTCATTAGCAAAAAACGCCAAGGACGCGGAGGCGGAGGAAGCAGCAGCAGGGGCTGCTAGGCTCCCCGGCAGCACCAGCCGATCCAGCAGCACGAGCAGCACGCCCACTTTTACAGGCACTACCCCCAGCACCTCAGTCTTTTCCCCCACTCTTTCCCCCTCCCTTACCCCCTTCACCTCCTCCCTCTTTCGCACCCTTTCTCCCCCTCTTCCCCCCCCCACTCTCTCCCCCACTCCCCCTCAGCCCGGAGCCCCCGCGCCAGCCAAGTCCGCCAAGGACCCGGAGGCGGAGGAAGCAGCAGCAGGGGCTGCTAGGCTCCCCGGCAGCACGAGTCGATCCAGCAGCACCAGCAGCACGCCCACTTCCGCAGGCACCCCCAGCGCCTTCGGCCGCGGGGGTACAGGCGCGGCTGGGGCCACCGGCAGCGGGAGCAGCAGCGGGGCGGGTCGGAGGAAGGAGGAGGAGGAGGGCAGGGCGCGGCACAGAGTCCCGGGGGCAAAAAAGACCGCCAGTGGCGCTGCTCCCGCTGGTGGCTCAGCAGGGGGGGGCGCGGACCCGGGGGGGGACGGGCTGCTGCGGACGGTGTCTGGCGCGTCCTCTGACTCGTCTAAGGGCAGGGGCAGGCGCGCAGCCGCGCAGGGGGAAGGGGGGGAGGAGGGGCGCGCGGGGCGGGTGAGGGGCGGCGGACTGGTGGAGCACGCGGAGGGGATGGAGGGGGCGCATGATGTGAGTCACTTGACTGCCGTTGACTTCCCTTGACTGCTCCTGAATGCCTGTTCGTGACTGCCTGTGATGTGACTGCCCTGTAACTCGGAGGGGATGGAGGGGGCGCATGATGTGAGTCACTTGACTGCCGTTGACTTCCCTTGACTGCTCCTGAATGCCTGTTCTTGACTGCCTGTGATGTGACTGCCCTGTTACTCGGAGGGGATGGAGGGGGCGCATGATGTGAGTCACTTGGCTGCCCCTCCCTCCCTCTCTTTTGTTGACCCCCGCCGTGACTTTGCTTGACTGCTGTTGACTGCTGTTGACTTCCCTTGACTTCCCTTGACTGCCGTTGACTACTGTTGACTGCCGTTGACTGCCGTTGACTGCGCTTGACCGCCATTGTCTCGTTGTGCCATTTGTCTGTTCTGTTCCACGCGCTTGCTGCCACGCCCCACTATCATTCCTGCTTCGCCCGTCGCTTGTCTTCCACCTTGCACCTCTCACCGGCCCTCATTGCTATTTGTGAGGCACCATCATGGCGTCCCCGTTATGCTGTGCCTCGTTTGCAGGACGAGGACGCTCACAAAAAGAAGAAGGAGGCCAAGCGCTCTGCGCGGGTGAGAGCCCTTTCCCACACACCCGCGCCTTTCGCCCCCACTACCCCCTCCCTTTTCGCCCCCACTACTGCCCCTTCGACCTCGTGCCGCTTCGCGATCTTCTCTGATGCTCGACAACCCCCCGCCCTCCCCCCTTCTCCCATCCCCTCGTCCCGCACCCCCCTCCCCAGCTCTCCCTCCCTCGTCTGTAACATTTTGCTCTCGTGCTCAGATTCTAAACTTCGAGCCCCTCGCTTGCCACTCACTACTCTCGTTCCAATCGTGTTCACTTCTGGTTGTGTCACCTATTTCATTCTTATCTAATCGTGTTCCCTTCCGGTCTGATTTTTCTGCCCTTCGCCCCTCGTTGCTCCTCATCACTCCTCATCCCCCCACCCACTCCCCGTCTTTCCACTTCTCGCCCCCCCGCTCCCCTTCCTCCGTTTTCGCTTTCTCTCCTTCTCGCTTTGCTCCTGTCTAGTGTATCCTCTCTCGCTCCACTGCTCACGCATCTTCTTTTTCTCCTTCACGCATCTCCTCTTTCCGTCCCGTCTGCCCGCGCCCCCGCGCCCCTTCCCTTTCACCCCTGTCGCCTCTGCCCATCCCTTCCATCCGTTCTTCGTCCTGTCGCCCCTCCGCGCCAGAAGGAAGCCCTAGAAGAAATGCGCGCGGAGGTGGAGCAGCTGCGGGAGCAGCTGAGGGACGCGGGGGAGAAGGCCAAGGACGCGGACGACAGGGTGCGCGAGGCGGACGACAGGGCGCGCGAGGAGGCGCGGAAGCGCCAATACGTAGAAGCAGTAATGGCGGAGCTAGAAGAGCAGATGCAGGCGGAGACAGGCAGGCGGGAAGCCGCGGAAAAGGCGCTCAAGGAGGCGCGGCGGAAACTGGAACGCGCGGAGGGGGGCGCGGAGGGCGCGGAAGGGAAGGAGAGGCGGGGCGGGGCGGGTGGAGAGGTGGCGGAGCTTGAGGAGCGGTTGGATGAGGCGGAGAGGCGTTGGGAGGAGGAGAGGGACCGGGCTTTGGAGCTAGAGCAGGAGTTACAGATGGTAGATGAGGAGATGAAACTAGAGAGAGAGTCTATGAGGGAAAGTATGGCTGCTTATGCTAAGGGCATGGAGGACTTGGCTACTCAAGCAGAGGATGATTTTAGGAGGCAGATTGACGATTTGAAGGATGACCTGGAACGGGCGAATGCTGAGCTGGACGCGGTTAGGGATGAGCTGGACAGGGCGAATGGTGACGTGGAGCGGGGAAGGGATGAGCTGGAGAAGGCGCGGGATGAGGTGGAGGGCATGCGCGCGCGGGTGGAGGAGGCGGAGCGGACGGCGCAGGCTGCTGTGCGGAAGGTGCTGGAGGAGAAGGGGCGGCGGGAGGAGGCGGAGGGGGAGGCGGAGGAGTGGCGAAAGAAGGCGGAGAGCAGTGCGCGCGGAGAGGGGGGGGGGGCTGGGGGGAGCGGAGAAGAGGGGGAAAAGAGCGAGCAGAACGAGAAGAGCGAGAAGGGTGAGAAGAGCGAGAAGAGTGAGGAGGAGGGGAAGGCAGGGGCGGGGAGAATTATGGAGTTGGAGGGTGAATTAGAGGACCTACGAGACAGGATAGAGGCTGCTGAAGCACAGAAGGCGAATCTGCTGGAGCGGTGGGAGGAGGGCGAGCAGCGCAGGCAGGAAGCAGAGCAGCAGCGCGATAAGGCGGAGGCAGCGAGGAGGGAACTCGAGGCGCAGGTGATTGAGCTCGAGGCGCAGGTGGTGCAGCAGAGGGAGAAGGTAGAGGAGGCGGAGGGGCGGCAGCGGACGCTCGAAGCGCAGGTGGTGGAGCTGGGCGCGCAGGTGGGGGTGCAGCGGGAGAGGGCGGGGGAGGCGGAAGCGGAAATGAGGGCGCTTAAAGCTCAACTCGCGGAGCTGGAAACACAGCTGGGGGAGCAGCGGGCAAAGGCGGAGGAGGCAGAGCGAGCAATGGGGGAACTCGACTCGAAGCTGGGGCAGCAGAGGGAGAGGGGAGGCGAGGCGGAAGGGGAGGTGCGGGAGGTTACTGCAAAGCTGGCGCTGCAGAGGGAACGCGCGGAGGCAGCAGAGAGAGAACTCGAAGAGGTGAAATCCGAGCTGGGACAGCTGAAGGCCGAGCAAGGGCATCTGGGACAGCTGCGGGAACGGGTAGAAGAAGCAGAGCGGGAGAGCAGGGAGCTGGAAGGGAAGCTGGAGAGGCAGAGGGTGCGGGCGGAAGAGGCGGAGGGGGCGGCTAGGCGGGTGGCGGACGAGATGGGCGCGGAGCTGGCGGGCATGCGCGAGCGCATGGTGGAGTATGTGATGGGGCGTAAGACCGCGGAGCACAGGGAGCGAGAGGCGGGTGTGAGGTGTGAGGAGGAGAGGGGGAGGCGGGAGGAGGCGGAGAAGCGAGTGAGAGAGCTGGAGGAGGAGGTGCAGCAAGGGAAGGTGGCGGAGGAGCGAGTGAGGGAGCTGGAAGAGAGGGTTGCGCAGGCGGCGGTTGTGGGGGCGAGTGCGGGTGGGAGGGTGGAGGGGAGTGTGGTGGAGAGTGTGGACGGGAAAGAGGGTGAAGGGAAGGCGGGTGAGGGGAAGGCGGGTGAGGGGAAGAAGGGGGAGGAAGTGGGGGCGGACGGGGGAGCGGTAAAAGGAGAGGGCGGGGAGTCAGAGCTGGAAGGTCTGAGGAAGCAGTGCGCCCAGGCGTTGAGGTGAGATGCGCCGTGTGCTGTGGTAGTGCACGTTGTGTGGTGTGAAGCACCCTGTGTGTGCTGGTAATGCACGACATGCTCTTTCGACCCAACAGAGGAGAGGCAGGGGAGTCAGAGCTAGACGATCTGAGGAAGCAGGGCGCCCAGGCGTTGAGGTGAGATGCGCCGTGTGCACTGAGTGTTGTGCTGGACTGCTGTGGTGCTTGCTCCCCCTCAACCTGCTCCCACCCCTCCCTCATACCCCATCCTGTAGGCAACTAGAGGATGTAGCTGAGGTGCAATCAAGCCTAGAGCAAGAGCTAGACCATCTGTGTCTGGAGCTGCAGCACGAGCAGGAGCTGTCCACGGAGGAGGTGGCTCAAAGCTTCCACACATCCCTTCCCTACCCACCCATCGTCTGCAGGCAACTAGAGGACGCAGCAGAAGTCCAGTCATCGATGGAACAGGAATTAGACCATCTCTATTTGGAGTTGCAGCACGAGCAGGAGCTGTCCACGGAGGTGGCGCTGGTGGCGGAGGAGGAGTGGCGGGGCAGACAGGACGCCCTCCGCGCGCTCGCAGAGGCGCACAGGCAGCTTGAGGCTCTCGGCGCCCTCGGCAGCGACGCTGCTGCTGCCGCCGCAGCTGCCGCTGCCAGCGGCGGCGCTTCTGTTGCGTTCTCAACTGGTGCTAGTGGTGGCGCTGCTGGTGGGGAATACGAGGGGCCTGTTGCGGCGGTGAGGCAGGACAGCTGGGCGAGGCGGAGGGCAGGGGACGCGCCCCTGCTGCCTCCGCGCCCAAAGCTCGCTGCTGCTACAGCTGACAGCCCCGGAGGAGATACCTCTGCTGCTGAGAAGTCAGGCAGATTACTGCAGCAGCAGCAGCAGCAGCAGCAGGGCGAGAGCAAGGTCGAGGGCAGAGGATCGGGCGGGTTGGGTCTGGAGCGCACGTCTTCAGACATGCTGTCGTACGTGCATGGTGCGTCTGAGCTGCTCAAGGGGCTGGCTCGGCCGGACGAGGGCGTGAGCATGGGCATCAAGCTGCTCGCGCTCAAAAAGGGCCTCTCCTACAGCCGCGCTGTCTCCGAGTCCCTGCGCACTGACGCTGGCGTGGCGGGCGCAGGGGCAGGCGGATCGGGCGAAGCAGGGAGTGTGACTCCTCCTGGTGGGACCAGTGAGGCTGGAGGGGCAGCGGGAGGGGCCGGGACGGCGGCACCAGCAGGGGCGGGGCCGGCAGGGGCAGCACCAGCAGGGGTACCAGCACCATCACCAGCAGCAGCCACGCACGCATCTGCCAAGGCAGGGCGTATCAGTCGCTCTGCCTCGCGGCGGCTGAGCGTGTCGCTGCTGTCCCCGCGCTCAGCAGTGCAGCAGCGGTGGGAGCAGCTGTCAGCGTCCCTCATTGCAGAGCGCGAGGCGCAGGCGGCTTCAAGGCCCGCCAGGTGGGGCACCTGGCTGCACGACCGCGGGCCTTGGTGGCCCTCTGTTTCCCCTGGCGTCCCAGGTGGTTCTCCAGGTGTTTTCCCAGGTGCTCCAGGGGTTTCGCCAGGTGGTTTGGTGGCGGGAGTGGGTGTGGGCCGGGGGGAACCAGGGGAGGTAGCAGCAGGGGCTGCAGCAGGGGGACAGTCAAGGTATCGGTCGGCGTTTGTGCACGTGATGCTACAGCTGTCACTGCACCGAGTGGGGTTGCTTGAGGACCGCTTACAGGCGGCTGTAGCAGCTGCAGCGGCTGCTGCTGCTACAGCTGAAGCAGCCAAGGCGGCGGCTGTAGCAGGGGAGAGTGTGGGTGGGACTGCTGCGGGCACGGCTGTGGCAGAGGCGGCAAGAGTTGGTACTGCAGCTGCTACAGCTAAAGCTACAGGTGCTGAGGGAGACAAGAAGGTGGGGCTGCTGGCTGCTGCTGTGTCTGTCTTTGCTCCCACTGTTGCTGCTCCTGCTCCTGCTGCTTCTAGTACTGCTAAGGACGGCCTGGCAGGAGTAGGCGGAGCACCAGCAGCAAGCGGAGGAGCAGCAGCAGCAGCACCTACAGCGGGAGCAGAAGCAGGGGCCACAGCAGATGGGGCTGCAGCAGAGTCGCAAAAGGGAGGGGTGGTTGAGACAGAAGCAGCAGTAGCAGCTTCGACAGGCGGGGCAGCGACAGGGGGGGTAACAACAGTGTCGGCAGCAGCGACGGCAGGGGCAGCAGCAGCTGCAGCAGCAGCAGGCAACCTCGTGAGTTCACTCCAAGGAATGAAATTCTCAGGCCTGGGGCTCTGGGGGGCTGCTAAGAAACCCGAGCCTCCTGCTGCTGCTGCTGCTGCTGCTGCTGCTGCTGCTGCTGCTGCTGCTGCTGAAGCGGCTGCAGATGCTGTTGACACAGGTGACAGTAAACAAGGTGACAGTAAGGAGGGCACGGGGGCAATGGGTGCGGCCACCACAGCAGCAGGGGCCGCAGGGACTGGAGGAGCAGCAGGAGCGAGAGCAGGGGAAGTCAAGAAGCCGTTTCTGCATATCTTTGTTGGGGATAGCGCTGCTAAGGACGAGGGGACTGGGGCGTCAGCAGCCAAGGAAGTAGATAAGTCAGCAGAGATTGCAGCGGCTGAGGGTAAAGCACAGGAGCAGACAGAGAAGGAGCAGCAGGCAGCAAAGGAGGCAGCAAAGGAGGCAGCAAAGGAGGCAGCAAAGGAGGCAGCAAAGGTGGCTGAGGAGGAGGCTGAGGACGTGAATGAGATGAGTGAGGAGCGGCGGGAGAAGGAAGTAGAGGCTCTAATGCTCCAAGCAGAGGCACTGAGAGGCACTGTGGCTCTCTGTATGAAGGAATCAGCTGCAGTCAGGCAGATGCTGAGAGAGGCAGAGAGAGAGGCGGAGAGATATGCAGAGAGAGAGCGCGAGGAGATGCGGGGAGGGGGAGCGGGCGGTGAGGGAGGGGACGGGGAGGTGGGGCTGGTGGCGGTGGTGATTGCAGAGGTTGATGAGGAGGGCATGGGGGTGCGGGAGAGGGGCGGAAGGGAGAGGGGCGTGGGGGTGGGAGGGGAGGAGGGGGAGGGGGCGCTGGTGGTGGCGATGCAGGATGGCATGGCGTCTCCCATGGTGCGGGATGGCAGGGCAGGTGGCAGGAGAGCCGTGGACAAGGTGAGGTGACATACGAATTGCGTATATGTAAATGGGACAAGGTGAGGCCATTTACAGATGGGAATGGAGGGTGCCTTTTGAGTCGACTCAAAAGTATCGTGTGCCATAGTAACGAGGTGACTCATGAGTCGACTCAAAAGTCACCTACTTACAGATGGGTATGGAGCGTGCCTGTGCATGGGCGTGTGTGTGGCTGGGGGTGGGGGGTTGCGCTGCTGGTGGCGATGCAGGATGGCATGGCGTCTCCCATGGTGCGGGATGGCAGGGCGGGTGGCAGGGTGGAGGCACCGCTTATCACCCCCCATCACCTTCCATCACCCCCTTATCCCCCCCGTCATCCCCTGCCCCCATCTCCCTTACTCCCTTACCCCCACCTACATCCGGGAGCACAGAGAGCAGCAGTGGAAGCCAAGGAGGCGCAGTTAGCGCATGTGATGCACCAGCTCAGAGCTGTAGACTCAAGGAACACCACCTTTCCCTTTCCTCCCCCCCCACTCCACCCCTCCCATCAGCGCGTGGAGGCGCAGAGAGCAGCAGTGGAGGCCAAGGAAGCAGAGTTAGCACATGTGATGCAGCAGCTCAGGACGGTTGATTCGCGCATCGAGCAGCTGCTCTCTGCAGAGCCACCCTCCCCTCCCCACGCTGCCCCTGCTCAGGTAAGTTTCTGAAGTGCGGGCTTTGGGAAAGCCCGAGTGAGTTTTCGGCAGTCCTGAGGGCCTTAGGTAGGTTCGCGTCTGCCCTGTTGGGTAAGAGCTAGCGCATGTGCCACATGTGCCACATCAGCAGCTCAGGGTGGTGGGCTCGCGCATCGAGCAGCTGCTATCTGCAGAGCCGCCCTCCCCTCCCCATTGGGCAGTCCTGAGGGTCTTAGGTAGGTTCGCGATGCACAGCTCAGGGCAGTGCTGAGTGGGCTTGGCAATGCAGCAGCTCAGGGCAGTGCTGAGTGGGCTTGGCAATGCAGCAGCTCAGGGCAGTGCTGAGTGCTGCTCAGGTAGGTTCGTGATGCAGCAGCTCAGGGCAGTGCACTCGCGCATCGAGCAGCTGCTCTCAGCAGAGCCGCCCTCCCCTCCCCATGCTGTCGCCGCTCAGGTGAGCTGCCCTCCCCTCCCCGTTGGGCAGTGCTGAGAATCTCAGGTAGGTGCGTGATGCAGCAGCTCAGGGCAGTGCTGAGGGTCTCAGCTCAGAGCGGTGCACTCGCGCATCGAGCAGCTGCTCTCAGCAGAGCCGCCCTCCCCTCCCCGCGCTGCTGCCACTCAGGTGAGCTTGGGAGCTCAGGTCTGCATTTTCACCAACTCACCTGAGCTCGTTTGTTTGATCCAACCGCCTCAGTGGTTTACTTTCAGTGGTTTTGTCTGGTCAATCCCATGAGCCTTCTGTTCCTGCATTCGTTTCCCCATCTCCCCTGCCCCACGCTCTCAGCCTTCTCCGTCTTCCTTGTCCTTCATTTGAACATGAGCAGTACTCCCACCCTCGCTGCCCTTCCCTGTTCCACCAGAGTGGAGGCTTGTTTGCAGCCACCGGGTCTCTCTTCTCCTCTATGATGCCGCGTGCTTCCACCGTCACTCTGCCTCAAGCCTCCAAGGCCCCTGTCGTGGCCAAACCCTCGCCCCAGCCGCTTCAGTTTGCACAGTTACTCTCCCTCTCCCTCACCCCGACTGCGACCGTTCAGTCTGTCAAAAGCAACAGTGCCACCACCACCACCGGCAGCAACACCACGGCACCGCAGTCAACCCAGGCCGCTGCCCTCCCTGCCCCACACCCTGTCGACCTGCCAGATCAGCATCTGCCACCTCAGCACGCAACAGCGCAGCAACAACCTCTGGTCGTGGAACTTCAGCCACTCAACGTGCCACATCAGCAGCAGCACCACCAGCCCCAGGATCTTACTTCATACGGGCAGCCCGTCGGGCAGTCTGGGCAGGTTCCCGCGCAGCAGGAAACTTTCTACAGGCAGGACGAGCCAGCATACCCAGACACAGGATACAGGTCCGGACACAGGCTCGGGCACGGGTCGTCCGGCGGAGGTTCGCCGAGATCAGGTTCGGGAGGGCTAGACCCAGGCTCTCCCTATTCGGACGACTACCCGCCTTCCCTGCAAGCCGTGGACCTGAGGTCGCCTGGGGGGCCCATGGATATGTCCCCGGACTCGATGGGGGGCTATGAGGGGCAGGGCGGGTTCGGGTTCGGAGGGTTTGGGCTTATGACAGACATCCCTTGATGAAACAAAGCCAGGGGAGGAGCAGGAGAGGGAGGGGTTGGGTGGGGCAGCAGGCGGCGGGGCAGAGCGGGTTCGGGTTCGGAGGGTTTGGCCCTATGACGGACATCCCTCGACAAGCCAAAGCCAGGGGAGACCTGAGGTCCCCTGGGGAACCCATGGTTATATCACCTGATTCCATGGGGGGCTATGAGGGGCAGGGCAAGTTCGGGTGTGGAGGGTTTGGGCTTATGACAGACATCCTTTGATGAAATCTGGGATCACTGAAGTCAGGGGAGGGGCCGTGGACTTGAGGTCCCCTGGGAGATACATGGAATTCCACTAGGGGCTATGAGGGTTAAGAATTCCACAAGGCGGGACAGACACTCCTTGATGATGGTTGAGAATCACGGCTGCACCAAAGCCAGGGGAGGAGCAGGAGAGGGAGGGGTGGGGCAGCAGGCGGCCCTGCATTTGTGGGGGTATCATATTTATTTAGCTAGCAGCCTGACAAACTAGGTACGACCTAGAGACTGGAGTCCGTGTTGAGAGTTATGCTGCTGAGGACAGGGGCCTTTGAAAGCCTTTGGACAAAATGTAGTTAGGTACCGCAGTAGCATCGAGCTATGTGTAGCAGAAGTGACAAACCTGGGTACCCATGCAGGTCCCACAAGAAGGGTCCCCACCTCAACGTGAAGTGTGGGTGTAACACTAGGGGTTAAGAGCGTATTCCTATGGCCTCGTGTCAGAACCTCATATCAATTTCGCGTCGAACCGCGCTAAGACGCATTCAACCGCAGTCGAACACACTGAACCGTTTTTCACCACGCGAAGCTGATACGAGGTGCATCTGATACGAGGTGTAGGAATACGCTCTAACCCCCCAGTGGCCAAGAGGGGCCCAAAAGACCCAAGACCCTGGCGCACTTCATAATTGCTTATATAGTTGCTTATATGCTAGGATACAGTTCCTGCTAGGATATGCAGATTGAAGCAGATACATTTGACATATAGGCAGGTAGGTAGGGTAGTCACAATAAAGCACCCTTGAAAGTACCCAGGTTTCTCACTTCTGCTACACATCACTCGATGCTACTGTCTACATTTTGTCCCGCGGCTCTCAAAAGGCCTCCCCATGACTACCATACTGCGCTCATTTGAGCTACTAGTGCTCTCTACGGCCTGGGCCCTGAGAGCCAAGAGAGTGAATCCCTCGACATCATAACTCCCAACATGAAGAGTGGGGCTCCTCTCCTCTAAGCAAAACTGCAGCTGCGCACCCCTCGGCCTTGCTTGTTCCTCCCAATATTGGCCTACGCCCGTCTACCCCCCCCTCCCCCTCCCCCTCCCCCTCCCCCACGCCGTGCTCCCCCTCCCCCAGCACCCCCCGCTTGAGCAGCGGGGGGAGCATCGGGGCCAGCGAGGGCCGTGAGGACGTTGAGAACGAGCAAGCCTCCCGCCATGATGAACATCCACTGGTGGGCACAGGGAGGGGATGAGGGGAGAAGAGAGACCGGGGTCACGGTGTGAAAAAGGGGCATCGGGGCCAGCGAGGGCCGTGAGGACGTTGAGAACGAGCAAGCCTCCCGCCATGATGAACACCCACTGGTGATACGTTCACATTGAAGGGGGAACAAGAGACAGGGGTTGCGGCAATGAGTGGGAGGCGCCACTAAGCAGAGAAAGAGGGCACATCAGGCGGAACTAAGCAGCAAGGGCCGTGACGAATATCCACTGCTGATGAAGGGAGACGAATAGACGCATTGGCGATGGAGTGAGACGAATAGACGCATTGGTGATGGAGTGAGACGGGCAGAGGAAGGAAGTGGGTGCCCAAGTGAGGACCCAGCAAAGGTGTGTGATGGTGAGCGCCAGAAGGGAAGAGACGGAAGCAGGGAAGGGAAATGGGAGAGTATAGGTGCGATGTAGTCTGAAGAAACAGCAAGGAAGGGAGGGAGAGGAGAGGGTTGAGGGAGGGACAGGAGAGAGGGGCATGAATGTGCCAAGAGCATGTTCTAATCACGCCCATGACAGCCCCATTTAGCCGCACATGCCAACTCCATGCCACCCCACCCCACCCCCCTGCGCCTCACATATTTCTGCCAGAACGTCTTTTGCGGCCCTGGGGGCGCCATGGGGTCCTCCTTGTTAAGTTGTAATGTGTTATATGTTGGTAGGCTGTAGTGGGGTAGCCAATATAGGGTACAACCCCAACTAGGGTTAGCTACTTGTACCCAACTGTTTCTTTCAATGCATCATTCTCACGCTAGTACTTTGATATGGTATCAGAGCAGGTGGTCCCTAGGACCATCCGATCGTTTTTTTTAGGGCCCACCACCGCACGCTGCGGTTACCGCGTTACCCCCGCGCCCTACCCTCGTAGCGCCCTCGTTGCGCCCTAGCGCCCTCGTAGCGCCCTTGTAGCGCCCTCGTGCGCCCTGCCGACCGGCGTCCTGCCAGCCCAGAGCCCCGCGCGCCTCCCCTGCTTTGCCCGTCGCGCCGCCCGCTCTGCCCCGCGCTGCCCGTCGCGCTGCCTCGCAGCCCCGCGCACCGCCCGCTGTGCCCCGAGCCGCCCGTCGATCTGCTGCGCAGCCCCGCGACCCGCCCGCCCTGCCCCGCGCTGCTCGTCGCTCGGCTCTGCAGCCCCGCGCGCCGCCCGCTCTGCCCCGCGCAGCCCGTCGAGCTGCCTTGCAGCCCCGCGCGCCGCCCGCTGTGCCCCGCGCCGTCCGTCGCGCTGCCCGCCCGCCCGCCGCGCTGCCCGCTTGCGGAGTCGCCCGCCTGTCGCGCTGCCCGCCTGCAGCGCCGCCTGCCTGCCGCGCTGCCCGCTTGCAGAGCCGCCCGTCCGCCGCGCTGCCCGCTTGCAGCGCCGCCTGCTGCTCCCTGCCCGTGCGCAATTGCCCGCCCCTGCTGTGGTAGCTTGCGTTGCTCTGCCGTACTGTCGCTATGGCTTCCATCCGCGTGCTTTCGTTCGATGCTGAGGGCCGCCCTGTGCAGTTCACCACTTGGCTAGATGACCTGCAGCTGTTCCTCCTGAGCGATAGCAAGGAGCATGTGTCGCTCTATGATTACGCGTCTGGTGCTGCACCTGCCCCTCCTGCCACAGCAGAGCTTAGTGTTCGTTCCCACTGGCAGACTCGTGACGCAGCTGCTCGCCTAGCCATTCGCAGTCACCTGCCGTTAGCTGAGCTCGAGCATTTTGGCGACTGCAAAACCGCTAAGGCCCTGTACGACGCTGTCGTTGCCCGCTATTCCTCACCTGCCACAGCCGAGCTTAGCCGCCTTATGCTGCCTTACCTGTTCCCTGAGCTGTCCACCTTTGCTACAGTCGCCGATCTTATCACCCACCTTCGCACTAGTGACGCTCGCCTGCGTGCCGCCCTTCCCACCGAGTTCTGCGCTAAGAACCCCCCTCCACTGTACTGGACACTCCACTTCATAGTCACCCGTCTCCCTGACACCCTTAGCTCAGTGCGCGACTATTTCCTTGCTCGCTGTCCCACTGAGCTCACTGTCGCCCTCCTAGAGGAGAAACTGCTAGCAGCCGAGAAGAGCATTGTAGCTGTAGGTGCTGCTCGTGGCGCTCCTCGCACCCCCATCTTTGAGGGGTGTTCTCCCTCTCCCCTCGCTCCCTCCTACGCTACTGCTGCTGCTGTTGACTTCCTTGGTGCTGAGTCTGCTGGCGCTGCTTCTACTCCTGGTGGGAGGCGCCGCACCGGCAAGGGCAAGGGGGGCAAGGGTGGCGGGGGTGGCGCTGGGGGGGGAGGAGGTGGGGGAGGTGGGGGGGGAGGCGGTGCTGGAGGGAGCGGTGGCGGGAGTGCTGGTGGGAGTGGGGTCGGCAGCGGAGGCGGGGGCGGCGGAGGGAGCGGTGGCGGTGGTGGCGGCGGCGGCGGTGGCGGCGGCGGCGGTGGCGGCGGTGGCGGTCGGAGCGGAGGTAGTGGTGGCGGCGGAGGTCGGAGTGGAGGCACTGGCTCGGGCCAGAGCTCCCTCCAGCAGCAGCGTCCGCAGACGACCTCTTGCTCAGCGTGGGACGTCGGGGGGCAGTGGCCGCTGTTCCTATGTCATTCGCACAGGTGACCGCAAGGGACAGACGTGTGGGAGGTTCCACACCCCGTACCGCTGCTTCTCCCGCCTTGACGACGCTTGGCGTGAGGAGATCGGCGAGGATGTTGAGCGCCCCCGCTGGGCGGAGCTGATGAGGGCTGGTGTTGATATCTTTGCTCTTGACTATGATGCTATTATTGCTGCCATGTATGCATTGACTGTTAGTGCCGAGGGAGACTGGTGTGTGCCGCCTGACCCAGGTATAGAGCCCGCTGCCCTAGGTACTAGTGAGTCTGCTCTCTCTGGTACGGTCCCCTCTGTGGCTGCTCCCTCCAGTACTGTCCCTGCTGCTTGTGAGTCTGCTCTCTCAGGTACAGCACCCACAGAGACTGCTCTCTCAGGTACTGCACCGGCTGAGGCCTGTCACACCTTCACCCTTGACTCAGGTGCTTCCCGCTGTTTCTTTCGTGACAGTACTGAGCTCACACCGCTTCCTGCACCGGTCCCAGTCTCCTTGGCTGACCCCTCGGGGGGCCCAGTCCTGGCACGGTCCACCACTGTGCTCCCGTGTCCGGCGGTTCCGTCTGGCTCGTTGTCGGGTTTCCACCTCCCCTCGTTCTCGACGAACCTGGTGAGCAACGCTGTCATCCAGGATCAGTGGGTTGACACCTTTACCCCTGGAGGACAGCATGTGGCGATCCTCACGTGCTCCAGGACCGGCCGTCACCTGGCTACGTTTACCCGTCAGCCGGGGTCGAGTCTCTACACACTGACCACTGCGTCTCCTCAGGTCGCTGCTGTCGGTCAGGTGTCCGCGTCAGGTCTGGTAGCCCACGCCTGTGAGTGTCGTTCCCTGTCGCACCAGACTCTTCTCTGGCACCACCGCCTGGGTCACCCCTCCTTGCCACGCCTCCGTGGCATGCACCGTCGCCACCTTGTGTCTGGTCTTCCCAGGTCCCTCCCTCCCCTCCCTGCCTCGCCTG